AGCCTCATCCACTGGCAGCCCACATCCCACACAAGCCGCTGCCCCAGCTGAGACGTGGCTGCAGCTGCATCTTGGGAGCTCCATGGCCGATGTTCACACTGAGTCAACAAGAAGTGGGGATAAAACGGTGATTTCACACATGAGACAGACAAAGCGTGGAGGCAGGGAGCCTCTGCGATTACTGGAGCGCAAAGCTGGCCAGAAAACCTCCTTCCTGCTCAAAGCAGCGATGCCTCAGAGCTGCAGTTTTACACCTGCCCCCATGCAGCAGAAGCAAAGCAGGAGAAGGGTGAGTGAGGTGGAGGTGCCTGAACAAACCTCCGACGTGAAGGGCGCTCAGCGCTCGGCCACAGGTCAGCTATCCGCCCGCCAGGACACTCAGCAAAGTGACAGCAGATGAGCAGCAGCCCGGGGCTGCCAAATTTCCCCCAGAGAAGTGGGAAAGTTGGGAAGCCTGCTGTGAATGGCAGGAGACGTGACGCAGAGCCCCAGCTCCCCATATGTTCCATTAGCCGCACAGGAGGAGCGCGCTGCTCTGCAGAATCAGGTTAGAGGCAGAACCTGGCTGCACACTGCTGACCCCAACACGGGTCAGGAGGTGCCAGTACCACACAAGCCCTCCAAGCTCTCCACCCGCAGGAGGAGCAGGGCCCCTAGCTGCCATGGAGTGGGCAGTGCAGTGTGGGGGGCTGCTGGCATGGCAGCACAGAGCCCTCGGATGTCAGGGGAGAATAGAGAGGCTTAGGGATGTGGCACGGTGAACAAGACCCCAAAAAAAGCCCTTTTGCCCTGCCCTCACACACGCTGCATCTTGGGCCTCCTTCTGAAGGCTTGGGGCACTCGTACTCACAGGACAATTGCTGAAAACATACATTAAATAGAAATTGCTGTGAATGCATGAAGTGATGTGATGTGACACGCAGCTGGGGGGTGCCAGCTATCGCCGAGCCTTACTGCAGAGCAGCCTCCAACAACCAGCTATCAGCAGGGGATGAATACACCCACACAGACATCGAGACCCCCGGGCAGGACAGGGGGCACAGAGGGGCTGGGACTGTGCTGTGCCACCTGCACTCAGCTAGGATCCAGCAGTGCTGGGCACACAGCACCGGCATGCAGTCACAGTGTCAGTGCTGGAGGGGAGATGGTGGAGATGGGTGGGAAAACCTTGCAGCTTGTCCTGATCCTGAAATCATCTTCCCCTAAAATGAGAGGAAACATAAAATGGAAGCATAGGAGCTGGTTTTCCAAAAGGGGAATATAGTCACAAAGCGTGAGAAGGGGGTCCTGGCTCTCCCTTGCCTTTCCTAGCTCTGCTGCTGGCTGCCACTAGTGGGGCAAAGCTGGGATGTGGAGACATGGCCTGGAACACAGGGATGTGGCTTTTTTCTGACTCCCTGCTCTGGCCCAGATCGTGGTGCTGAGGTCAAGGAAAAAAAAAACCAACAAAAGACAAAGGGAAAAACTGCCATCCTACACTCTCATAGGGCCAAGCACACCTCCAAAACACCTCCCCCAGAATACAGACCCCTGCCCTGTGTCCCTGCCAAGCCCCAAGCCCACAGCCTGTCACAGCATCAGCACTGGTCTCGTCTCTACCATGAAGATGTACAGGACATGCTGAACCCTCTGTGACTCTCCAAGACTTTCTTCCCATTTCGATTTGATGCACAGGGACCACTTTACCAGAAGCGTCCAACCACCCCCTGCCTCCCTGGGGCTGCCTCCCAGCACACGTGTTGGGAAGCACTGGGAAGAAAACTGCCAAAGCTCAGGGCCAGGGTCACTTCTGCCACCCCAGGCATTGCTCATCCCCTGAGGACAAGCAGGAGGGGACAATGGGACATGTACTGCTTCCCAGCTGCAGTATGACCAGCAGCAACCAACCCAGCAACAGCCTGCAGCCCCCGGCGCTTGCACAAAACAAGCTGGTATTTTACAGGGCTTCATTTGCAGAGCCTGAAATAAACAAACAAAATCAGCTGGGAGAAGGAATTTAAGCAGGAAAATGTCACAATAATTGAGCGCTCTGTGCAGCTGCCAGCCCTCTGACCCCAGCTCCTCTCGCACAGTCTTGCAGAAAGGATGCTCTGCAGTTCTGCCTTTAGAATGCAGACGGGCTGGGATGGGAACACAGCTCTGAAGACAATCATTTATAATAACAAGCAGGAGAAGTGTGACCTTGGCAAAGCTGAATAAAGCCAGAAGCTGTAGGAACAGGGGTAAGGGAAACAAAAGGAGAAGTAGGAGATGCTACAGTGCCATGTAAGCTCCTGGCACTGAGACCCCACTGTGGGTTCCCAGTCCTTTGTGGACAGAACAAGGGAGGATGTGCCCTGAGAGCCATCAGCACCCCACAAGGCCATGGCTGAAATCAAGTGTCCTCTCCTGCAGGTGGCACTTCAGAGAGGCTCCTGAGCTCGAAATGGGATAAAAACAGGAACCCAGAAGAGGTTGGAAAATATGTCAGTGAAGCTTTACAAGCCCTGTACGTTTGATGGAGAAAAGAGAAGAGTAAAAGAGATGACTGCATCCTAAAGTACCTCAGCCGACAGGAGGAACAGAGCTCAGCCAACAGGCGCTTCAAGCCAGTGGGTAAAGGAATAATGAGATTCCCTGGCTAGCAGCAGAAACAAGGCATGATTGCAGCCTTCCCAGCAGCAAGAGCAACACCTGGCACAGGGACTTGGGAGCACACTGGGGTGCCCTGCAGATGGAGCAGGAGCTCTGTAGTACTGCAGAGCACCTCTCCTTCCCTGCTCCACTTGCATACCAGCCTTGGTAAGAGCACACACCTCCACCAGCCCAAGCCTCCTACCCAAAATACCAGGGAAAGAGAGCTGCTGGCTCCAGCAGTCACCTGGGGCTGCAATTAGTGCCTCTCTGGCTGCCCACGGAGCCCCAGGGACAGGCAATGCCAGGCTGCCCACTGCGCAGGGCTCGCCAAAGCAGTGCATGCAGCCCTCTGCAGAGAGCTAATTAAACCTGAGCCAGAATAAACACTGCTTGAAATGGCAGGAGGTCGCCGTTTAATAACCGGCTCCCTGAGCTGCTAGGGATGGTCACTCCAGGGATGGGCTTTGTGGGAGCTCTCCATCACCATCCCAGAGTGGCTGGGGGCACCAAGGAGCAGCCGCTGCCATGCTCAGGGCCAAGCACAGAGCCAGGAGTGGGCTCAGACTCCAGCTGGACAGACCCCAGCTGTCACCTGCCTATGCACAAACCCTGGCCCTGGGACATCTTGTCCATGCCGTGTCCTGCACTGTGCCAGCCCATCTGCCTTCAGTCTCTCATGAAGGGAAATATCTCCTTCAGATTTTACTGTTTCTTAGGCAGAGGGGTCAGGGCTGAAGCCAAGGCAGGCTGTGCACTGCAGCACAGCATCCTGTCCCCCAGTCTGGGAAGGGCACTCTGACCTGATGCTCAAGGGCTGCTCCCACCACCCCGCTCTCAGCCAGCCCCCAGCCCTGGCACCTTCCCCCAGTGTACCTCCCCAAATGCCTTCTCTATTTCTCAACAACCCCAATGACCTTTCCCCACCCTCCCACACCTCTTCTCTCTCTCCACTCCCAATTCTCATGACTACACTTGAACCAGTTCCCTTGCCCACTCTGCTCTGTCACTGCCCATCTGCACTCCCCAGATGCTGCCAGGAGCAGAGGATCCTGCACCTCACACCTGACCCCAGATTACATTGACAACAACCACGCTGCTTAAGGCGGGTGCAGCATGAAATAAATAAATAAAGCAGAGCTGTCTCGCTGCCGTCTGGGGTTGCTCAAGGGAGCTGGGCACTGGGGGTGGGATGAAGGATGCTATTTGGAGAAGCTGTCTCCATGGCAACCCCCATTCCCACCACAAACCAGGCACAGGTCGCCTGTTTCCATGAAAGTTTCCCCCTCTCTCCTTCCCCTTCCCCAGCCAGAGTCAACACCACCTGAGCTGGGAGCAGCACTACTTACAGGCCCTGGCCAGGCAGCACAGACTGGTGCCAGTATCCCAAGTCAGGCTTGGGGCTCCTCCCATTGCACCCTGAGACTCGCTGGGGCTGAGCGATGCTTTCTTCCCTGTGAACCCAGTGCAGGGGTGGCGGTGCTCGTGTCAGAGGTGTGCCTGAGGCCAGAGCACTTGGTCTGGTCTAGATGGCAGGGATCGAGATGTGTCCCATCCTTTCCGAACGCTGCTCAGCATGCTGTGTGGGATTTCAGATGATTATTTTGTTTCACAAATGGCTGCTCTCCTTAGAAGCCACAGGGTGCTCCCAGCACAACCTATGGGTCCCTTTCCAGTCTCAATTTCAGGCGCAGATGTGTTCACCAGCACCTGTCCCCAAGCAACAAGGTGCCCTCCCCACGTCACAAGCCTGCTGCCCGCTCCCCGTGTGTCTCCACCACAGCCATGTGTCCTCCACAGGGCTGGCAGCATTCTCTACGCCTCCACACTGAAGCAGCCAGCGTGTTCCTGGGAGGGGATGGAGAGGACAGGGCACGAGGAGGGGGACACGCATCACAGGGCACAGCAGCAGTGGTGGCAGCCGGGGTTTGGGCATCCCTGGGCAGACACCATCCCCAGGAGCACGGCCAAGGGCTGGCACCCAGGCAGCGATCCTGTAGTGCGGCGCGGGCTGGAAGATCCGCATGGTTCTCCCGCAGGGCTGGGAGTTTCGCCAGGAAAAGCAAGTTTATAAATAGTGAGCTTCAACACGAACAAACGAAAGCGACGGAACTCGACAGCCAGATAAGCTGCAGGCTGAGCACCATCCCCGCCCCAGCATCCTCCCTGTGGAGGAAAGATGTTCCCCTTCCTTCCTCTACCCAGCAACCAGAACCCTCTGCAAAGCCCCAATCTGCAGGTATCACGTCCCATGAGCTGCTCAAAAACACTCTTGCCACGGCTGCACTGGCAGCAGGAGCAAGCTAGCAGATGGCTCCCAAAGGACAGGGAGCAGGGAGTGCAGTCACTGCTCACTGCATGACACTCCTTGCGCCACCAATGCTTACCTTGATGTAGGTGTCCAGGGCTGGGTGCACACGGTTGACTGCGAGATGGATGGACAGAGGTGTGGTGAACGGGAAGCTTGCCATGACCACGTGGCTGGGTGTGGGGAAGGTGAAGATTTTGAAGCCGTACTTCTGGAACCGTCTGATCTGCTCTTCTGATGGCTTCGCATCCCCCTCGCTCAGAATTCGGCCGATGGCAAAGCGGCACTTCTCAGGAGACACCTGGTGGAAGGGACAGAGGAGCAGCATCAGGAGAGCAGCTGAACACCATCCAAGACCCAGGAGATCAATACACATCAAGCTGGTACCTGTTCCCCACAGAGCCTGACCCAGCCTCAAACCAGCCATGCTCTCCAGGACAAGAGTGCAGCACAGGCACACGCTGGCTGCTTGACACTTGGCAGCCATGCAGAAAGCACATCGCGTGGCCTCCACCACAGCGCCCCACTTTAGGGGTGGGGAAACTGAGGCAGAGAGCTGCTGTCACCTCCACATGGCAAAGCACACCCAGGTGGAGGTGTCCTTTTATGTTTCTTCAAAGTGCCAGCTCTCAGCTCACGGTGTGACACACTGCAGGGACACACTGGGCACAGGGGGGCCTGCCAGCTGCCCCTGAAGCTCTCCAGGCTGCTGGACAGACAGGAGACAGAAGGTCAGCAACCAGGAGAGCTGCTTCCTGCTGAGCTGGAGGGCCACAGCCTCCAAACTCACCCTGAGCAAGGCTGCACAACTCCCCAGACACCGCCAGGATGTCTGATAGCAGCAGTGAAATGGTCAGACGGACACTCTCCAGCAACCAGCATCACAGGACTCTCAGGGGCCTCCCCTGCCCCTCAAGCATCCTCCAGCACTGCATGAAAGATGGGACATCCCAGAGAGGAAATGAGCACAGAGGATAAGAGAAAAAACAAGAGCAGAGCATCAGGAGCAGCAGCATCCATCAGCAGGCAAGATGGCTCACTCTTGCCCTCGTGTGCTGCAAGAAGGAGCTGCAGATGGGCTCTGTGCAGCACCCTGGGAAAGGCTGGAACAAGGAGATTCTCCTCCACAGAGCAACAAGTCCTGTTTTGCTGCATCGGACAAGGGATGAATGGCATCCATAATAGAAAGTGAAGCTGCTCTTGGTCTCCAGTGCATCACAAGGTCCCCGTTGTGGGTGCAGGAAAGCCCCAGCATCCCCAGATCCTCGCACAAGAACAGGTAAATGGCAAGAAGAAAGGTTCAGCAGACACCCATCTGCCCCAGCTATGGGATCAGAGCAATGAAAAACAGACCAGACACTGAGCAAAGACCCAAGGAACAGGAAGGTGACTGTCCCTGCTCACTGGAAGTGCTTTAGCTGGCCAAGTGCCACGTACAGCATCTTCAGTGCACACAAAGTCAGGAAGTGAATCTCCTCCTGGGCCACATCCCCATCCAATGCAGAGTCAAGACAACAGGGCACCATGTTAGAGGCACACCCAGGAAGAAGTGGAAGGAACTCCTTTGTACTTTATGACCATGTCCCCCAGCCTTACAGGCACTCTCAAGTGTGGGAGTGCACTGGGGAGCATTTTGGCCTCATCCACCAAGCACTGGGGCAGGGCTGGGTGCAGAGCACCAGCAGGCAAGGGGCCCCAGTGCATGCGCCAGGCTGAACTTGGGCAGAAGTGCTGGGCTGGAGCTGAGCAGCAGCCTGCCTGCCACATCCAGCCCCTGCTGAGCAGCTATTTTTGTCCCTGCCAGAGGTGGGAGAAGTCTTTTGGGTTGCTAAATATTGAATAAAAAGGAAAAAAAAAGAAAAAGAGAGTATTAATATTAATCTTGTCCATTAAGACGCTGATAGCACTGCTGGCAGGGGTTCTGCAGCACTCAAAGCCACCAGCAGTGCTTTTCCTGCTGCTCCCCTGCTCTGGCGGTCCTGCCTTCCCTCCTCCAGGGTCACAAGCCAGCCCATGAGCAGGGTGGCCAGAGCTGCAGACACCCAGCAGGAGCCCAGCAGTCACCTTACTCTTCCTGCCACAGCACCAGGACCAGCAGACAGCCACAGCGTGAGCCCTGGACCCAGTTCTGTGCTCCCCAGTGCTGGGGAGGCATGGACAGAGCGGAGGAGCCCAGGGAAGGGCCGCCAAGTGGATGATGGCATTGGAGCATCTCTCCTGGGAGGAGAGGCTGAGAGAGCTGGGAATGCTCAGCATGGAGAAGGGGAGGCCCAGGGGCTCTTATGTGTGTCCAAAAGTCCTGCAAGGAAGGGGCAGAGAGCACAGTGCCAGGCTCTGTCAGTGGTGCCCAGAGGCAGTGGGAGGCAGTGGGCACAGCCTGGAATATAGGAGGCTCTCCCTGAGCCTGCAGTGCACCCCCCGAGCTGCCCTGGCAGATGCATGCAGAACCATCAAAGCTCAGGTCCATACAACATAGAAAGGGAATTCCTGCCACCATGCAGAACCCTGGCACCTCATGCACCTCCTGCCATCCCTGCCTGATTCTTTTCTAACGCTCATTCTTCTGAAGTCACTGCTGACACTTCTGATGCACAGGCAGGCACAGCGTGCAGGGTGGCACCCAGCACTGCCCCACACCCTTCCAGCACAAGCCCACCCAGAGGCCTTTCATCCTTCAGCAGGTTCCAGTGTGCTTTGCTTTGCAGTTACAGTGCTGTTTCATCAGCCAAGAGACTTCAGCATGCACCTGTTGAGGCTTCAGTGAGAACACTCAGGGGATGATTACAAGGAAGCTCAGGGACAGCAGCAGAAACAAGAGGAGGAATGTGAGTATGGATCCAGCAAGCCAAAGAGACCACCTGCTTTGAGATCATCTGTGCAGATGTTCAAGAAATGCAGCAGTGTGCCACATGTAGGGACACGGTTTATTGGGTAAGGTGGTAATGGGTTCATGGTTGGACTTCGTGATCTTTAGAGGTCTTTCCCAACCATAATGAATCTATGACTCTATGAGGCACAGAGCTGGGGAATGCCTTGCCAAGAGATGACATGAGGCACCAGGTTCTGCTCTATATTCAGAGCAGAGGTAAGGCTTGGGCAACAGCAGATGTCAGTGACAGCAACTTTCGTCACCTGACGAGGATTACCCAAGAAACCCTCAGCTTTCAGGTGCCTTGGCACATAGATCACCCTTTGCAGGTCTGGAGACCTGACGAGCCCCCAGTGCTCTCCAAAGCAGGACAAGCCACGGGTGCCTCTGGCACCATCAAGGGGCAGCCTTACCGTGTGCGGGTTGTCGTAGTAAACACCAATGGAGCAAAGCTTCGAGGAGATGCTGCAGCCATCAGTGAAGAGCTGCCCCGACTCTCCATAGGGGCCCACCCGGAACTTGTAGGCCAGTGTGATGCTGCCGACGGGCGGCGAGCCGGCGCTCACCACCACCTCTGTGAAGAGCCCTGAGTAGACGGCGAAGGCAAAGATGGTGAGCAGCAGCAGCACGACCAGCACTGCGATCAGCCCGAGGAGCATCCAGTCGGACATGATGGATGGGTGGTGCCTCATCTGTCCTGTGCGCTGACAGCGAGAGCAGAAAGCAAAGAGAAAGGGAGTTAAGGCAGTGCTTGTACAAAGTGCTCAGTATATAAACCCTCTGCCAAGCTCCCTTGTTCCAGCTGGGTCACCAGACACCAATTATGTTGCTGTGGTGCTTCCCAGCAATTAAGTGGTTGTGGGGGTGGGGACAGAAAGACACTGTCCTCACTACCAGGAATCATCCTCAGCACCAGGAACCATCTCCAGTACCAGGAACATACAAAACAGCCTGCCTACAGCCTGTGCCTGAGGGGGATTGACGTGCAGTGAGGCTGCATCACTGCACGGAGATCGTCTGCACAGTGCTGGGCTGGAGATTATGGCTCCATAACCAAATAATCTCTTGTTTCCACAGTGCAGACTCCGCATTTGGGCCATGACCCTTTGCCTAAAGGCCTTGGGCTACAGCAGAGGATTTGAAGAACTAAGAAAGGATGGAGCTGGTTTGGGCTGAGCCCCATGCATCAGGATCAGAGCAAGAGGCCCAGGTGGAAGAGCATCCCCACCACACCACGCTGCAGTACATTGCTACTTTTCAGTACAAATGGCTTTTTTTCATCTCCAAGTTTCTACAACCCAAGCCTTCCTGTTCTGCCCCACAGTGCTCCTCCCAGTGGGCCACGGCTCAACCTCTCCCCAGCATGCCCTGGGGAGAACAGTTAAACCCAGCACAACAGAGCTGTTTGTGCCATGCCCTCCCTCAAAGGACAGCACTGATGACAAGGGTTGTTTGCCACAACCCTTCGGGATTCCTCGCTGCAGCAGTGCTTGAAACCCACACTGCAAATAAACAATCTGCCTCAAGCTTGGTGTGACAAACACACTTTGTCCAAGAGGAGCTTTCCACCTCCGCCACTGTTTGCTCAGCTGAGGAGGAACCACATCCTGGTAGAGGGGCTCAGCACGGCGCTCACCAGCCCCACTCACCTGCGAGCCAGCCACGTTTGGCTAGGAGCTGCACATGATCTTTCCCCCACACAGCCGCAGGCCCCACACCTCTGCAACAGGAAAAAATACATGTCACTGCTTCCTCCCCAGCGCAAAGGAGCAAATGCAAAACTCATAGAGACGCAGAACCGCATCCAACCGCGCCCGAGGCGCAGCGCTGCCCCATGTGCGAGCGGGAGGAGCGCCCTCCGAGCCCCTCTTCCTGCGGCCCCGCGCGGGGATCCAAGCAAGACAGCGAGGCCGCGCAGCAGGCACGGACGCGGAGGGGCTGTGGGTGCGGCTCCCCAGCGGCCACATCGGGGGAACGCGGAGCACCGAATCCACGCGTGACTTCCGCGGCCCGGGGCCGCCCTGCTCCGCGCACGCGTGGGTTTTGCCGCGTCTCCCCGGCCGTGCCCTGCCGGGCTCTGACCCCGGTGGGCCCAGAGAGGCTCTGGGCAGTAGCGGGACCCGGGCGGCGACACCGTCCTCCCCGCCGGGTCTCCGCCGCCCGTGGGCAGCCCCGAGCCGCCGCCCGCCGTCTCGGAGGGGCCGGAGCGGGGCCACCCTCGCGCTGTCAGCTCGGCCCGGCGCGTCCCAGCCGGGCCCGGCGACCCAAGGGCCAGCCCCGCCCCGCCCCGCACCGGAGAACGCCGCAGTGACAACAGACAGCTAGGAGCCCCGCTACACCACGGACAGCCCCGGCGGGCTCCAGGCACCCACCTGGGCCGGGCGAAGACCCCGCCGCCGCCGCTCCGCACCCCGGCCCCGCCCCGGCCCGCCCCACGCGGATCTGCCCCCGCCCATCGCCTGCACGGAGCGGCTCGGGAGCGCGCGATCAGGCGGGGCTTCCGGCAAGGGCGGGGCTTCCGGCAGGGGGCGGGGCTTCAGACGGGGACGGGCGGTGCTTTCTGCCTGCTGGGGGAAGCGGAAGCAGAGCTGTAAAGACCAGAGCATTTCCCATCAGCTGCAGGCTCAGGGCCTACGCAGCGGGCCCCGCACCTCTGTGCAGGGCACGGGATGGGGGCAGGGCTGGCTGGCACTCTGCAGAGCTGCCTGCTGAACAGGGCTGGTCTGCAAGAGCAGGGATTTCTCTTGGGGCTGGCTGGAAGGTTCTGGGACACCTTCATGGACGCTGACTCCCCCATCTCCACGGGCAGCTGTGCCAGTGCCAGACCGCTCGTTCAGCAAAGATATTCTTCCTAAGATAAAACGGGGACCTCCCCTGGTGCAAACTGGAGGCCATTCCCTCTCATCCCATCGTTGTTACCTGGGAGCAGAGGCTGATCCCCACCTCACTACAGCCTCCCTGCAGGGAGTTATAGGGAGTGGTGAGGCCTCCCCTGAGCCTCCTCCAAAAGCCTGGAGTTGAGGGCAAGGAGGCCGTATGTCAAATAGCAGAGCCAAAGTCAAATGGGAAATGCAAGCTTCCTTAGGGACGGCAGGACGCTGTCAATTATGGAGACCAAACTGTGGACTGATGGAGGATCACGGAATAGGAAGCTGTGAAAGGAGGAGGAGAAATTTTGGAACCCCGAATGCCAAACAGTTTACGAGCAGTGGCAGCAGACCTGAGGCACTGCTGGAATGCAGGAGGAAAGCCTGGGTCCCAGCCCACCCACAGCCGGCAGCAGCCGTGGGGCTGCCCGCGTGTCCCAAACACAGCGGTGTCCCCACAATGACAGAAACACCCCCAGAATGGGCTGCAGCTGCCAGCCTGGCCTCCGCCACGTTGTGCATTGAAACATTGCGCCTGCTGGAGTCGGGGCCAGAACCCAGCTCAGCCTGAACCGGGCTGGGGGCAGGAAGGAGTGGGTTGGGTGCTGGGCAGAAGAGATGCCCGTGGTTGCAGCCCCTAAAGCTGCCCACCTCGGGAAAGGCAGAGAAGAACCAAACTGTTGTCAGCAACTGCGAAATTGCGAGACCCCCCCCACGGGGTCTGATGTGCTAAGCTCCCTCCCTGCTCTAATGATTGATGTGTGATGTGGGCCCCTAGGGGCGTAGACGAAGCAATTAGGCTATATAAGGTAGTTAATACGTGTAATAAATGCCATTTTACTGCTCATCATATTGGTGTCACCTCAGTAATTGGCCAAGCTGCGGTCTCCTGGGAAAGCGGAACGGGCGCGTACGGCAACACCAAACTGACAGTGGCATGATGGAACTGTAACTTTTATTGATGGATTGTGGTGACTTTACACAGCAATTGGAGCTGGCACACGGCTGCTTCTGCAACATCAGTGGGGCCGGCGGTTGATGTTCCGGGCCTGACGTGGAACCCGGGAGCGGCTTCGCCCCTGGGCTGGCCGTCGCCGCCTGGACCGGCTCCTGCGGCGTCTTTGGGGCTGGCTGTTGGTCTCTGCAGCCCGATGTTCCAGAGGGGAGCGGCTCCGAGTCCTGGCCCGCCGTGTCTGCCTGGACTGTGTTCTTTCAGCCACCGTGGAAACCCTCGAGGACCGCGGTGCTCCCTGTCTTGAGTTTGTGTGGGTGCAGCTCTCAGCCCTTGAGGCTGGTGCCTGCCTGCTCCCACGGCGTGTTCGGGGCTGGCTTGGAGAATCTGGGGCCCGGCGGGGCAACGGAGAGCGGCTCCTTGTCCGGGCCCGCTGTCCCTGTCTGCACCTCGAGGACGCTGATGTCTCCTGGCTGGCAGCGTTTGGAGTGCGGCTCCCAACAGTCGGGGCAGCATTATGGCTGCTCCCACGGTGTCGTCGCGGCTCGTCATCTTCATCCCGCTGTGCACGCGGGCGCATTCTCCTCCGGTCTGACCTGCGCTGGCTGGACAGGCCGCTGCTCTCAGGCCCGGGGGAAGAGTTAGCTGGCCCCGATGGTGCCTGGCTGGTGGTGCTGCAGCCAGGAAGGCCTGAGTTGGTGCTGGAGGCTGTAAGGAGAGGCAGGAAAGTGAGCAGGATGGAATTGCAGCCACGGGGTGGAACTGACTCCCATTGGTGCTGGGCTAGAGGGATTTGAGCCAGGCGGCCCTCAGCAGCCGCTGCCAGGCCTCGCCTGGCCCCAGCCCAGCCACACGCGGCCGTTTGCCTCTTACCGGTGCCCTCTCCAGCACAGGCGTTGCACTCCCAGCTGGTTGTGCTGTCGCTCAAGTTGGAGCAGCACCGGTGAGTGCCTTGTGCGGCACAGGAGCTGCAGAGGAGCAGCTGCCAGGGCCTGGGGAAACAAACGGGTTGTGGCCGTGAGGACAAAGTGACCCGAGCCAGGGAGCGCCGGCACAGCTCTGGTGCCCAGTGTGTGCTCTCCCAGCCCGTGGTGAGGCTGCGATCCCACGCCGAGCCCCAGAGGGCTGCTGAGGGAACTCACCCCTCTTCCTCTGCCTGCTCTCTGCCATGTGGGCAAAGGCAGACGCTGGCATCGCAGCTCCCGTGCCTCTCCAGTAGTGATGCGTAGGCATCGTTGTCTTCCCATGTTGGTTGTCTGCCAAGGCAAGGAGGGAATGGAATGAGCACTGAGTGCTCCAGGACTAAAACTAATCCATGGCATCCCTCCCCTTCCTCCCGACGCCCAGTTCCAGCTTCCCAGTGATGCTGAGGCCCATGTGAATGTCTGCAAAGGACCAGGCCAGCTGGGGCAGTCCCTTGCCAAGGACAGCTCGTGTGCCCTCACATCTCAAGAGCCGGCTGAAAGACACCAACCTGAATGGGATTCGGATCCCCATAAGGCGCATGTCCATAATAAACGTGTATCTGTCTCTGCAGATGGGGCATTGGAAGCAAGGAAACCCGGCGCTCATGGCCTGTTCCTGCAGCAGAAACAGAACAGGGTGAGTGTGAGCCAGGCCTGGTGCTGCTGAGCACCTGCCGTGCTCATGGGGTGAGGAGAGGGCTCCTACCTGGATGCAAGCCCGGTGGAACCAGGCGTGTTGGCAGGCTGGGCACACCATGGTGCTGTAGGACACGCTGTCCCCCACGGGGTCCATGCAGATGATGCAGGTCGTGTCCTGTGCCGGCGCTGCTTCCGCTGTCTGCTGTGGGCAATGCTCCGTGCAGAAGGACCTGGAGGAAGATGGGAGGGACGGGCAAGGTGAGAAGTGCTGTGAGGAGGGCAGAGGAACGGGAAGGAGCCCCAGGCCTTGGCTCTGGCTCTGCCAGGCTGCTGGGAGGCGTCACGGCGCGCTCCTCGCTTCTTTGGCTGGTGCTAAAGCAGGGCTTGGAGGCCCGCAGGCGATGCCTAGCAGCCCTTACCTGTACTCTCCAAAGTACTGGGTGACGCATTCACCCTTGGAAGCGCAGGGGAGATGGAAGCTGCGGTCGCAGCCCATCTCTGCACAGTTGATGGTGGCCCCCCTCTTGCCACAAACGAAGCAGAGCTGTAAAGAGCAGAGCATTTCCCATCAGCTGCAGGCTCAGGGCCTACGCAGCGGGCCCCGCACCTCTGTGCAGGGCACGGGATGGGGGCAGGGCTGGCTGGCACTCTGCAGAGCTGCCTGCTGAACAGGGCTGGTCTGCAAGAGCAGGGATTTCTCTTGGGGCTGGCTGGAAGGGCTGGGATTGCTTTCCCTGGACCAGGCTAAGCTCTCCACGCCTCTCCGGGCGCCAAGCTCCCTGTTCCAGTCCAGTGCTCACCGTCTGTTCTGCCTCCCTCAATTTGAGTATCAGGTCTTTAATCCAAAAAGTTAGGCCAGTGTGGTCTTCCACAACTTCACAAAGACCACTGATAAATATCTGTACAAGAGGAAAGAGCAGGCTCTTGTTAGGGCAGAAAGGAGGGAATCACTGGTTGGAGGAAGGTGTCAGGAGGCACGTGGGAACTCACCACACAAAACTTATGGAAATATAATTCACGGTGCTCTTCCATTTCCCCAAGGATGCTCGAGTCCTGATCCACTCGGCCGCAGAGCACGCATGCTGGAGAGGAGAGAGGAACAGCAGTGAGCGGCCTGCACAGCCAGGTGCCCTGGGGGCTGTCCCAGGGGCTGCTGTGTGCCGGCCGTGCCAGCTGAGGGGCAGGGCTGGTGGCCGTGGAGAGCAAGGGGCACTGCAGGCCCAGTGCGGCCAGCAGGCGGCCACAGCGCAACCGCGGCTCCCCTGGCCAAGGAGCCGAGGGGCCCTGCGTGCCCCGCCTCCCCTCTCTGCCGCTGGCAGACCCCCAGCACCCCTCTGCCCTGCGTGCAGGGATTCATTGCTCTCACCTGGCTCCCTCGAGCCGGCGGCCTCCTGCGTCTCCGCAGTTGACTGAAACCACTTGCAGAGTCTCTGTCCCATCAGTGCTGGGCTTCGTCCTCCGCGTGACAACCTAGGGGAGAAGCGGGACGAGGCTGAGTTCTGAGCTCCGGCCCCGAGCGCTGGGGAACCCTCCTCCCTGGGCAGCCTCAGGCAGCCCCTTCCTCCCTGCTCACCTCACCAGGTTGCACTGAGCTCCGCCTGGGCCCCGCAGCCTTGGCTCTGTTCCGCACCCCGCGTGTCACAATGGCCATTCCATGCTCATTTGTTTGTGCAAATGCTTCATTTAAGTTTCCTAAACTGTGTTATGGGATCAAAACCTCTACTGTGTAGAATCCGACCTCTCCTGTTAATCTCTGCCGAGGGCTCGCCGCCTCATGCGTGCTGAGCGAGCCGTCCTTTTTGGTGGCATGGATCGAGGCTGGGGGCCCGAGGCCTCCATGGACGGTCTCAGCCATCTGGGCAGCATCCAGCGCTCCTTCCCAGGGTCCAAATCCTCATGCTGAAAAGCCGCAGTGTCTGCTTTGCAGGTCAGATTTCTACTTTGGAATGTGCAGAGCCTCTGCTGAGGAGCAAAAGCTGCCTGTCACTGTGCAAACTGCTGTTGTAGGGGCTCCAGCCCACCTTGGAAGGACCCAGAGCCTTTACTTCAGGGCACTAAACCTCCTTTATCGGTCCCATTCCATTCTTTCGAGGCACAAATGCGGCTTTGAGGGCCTAAGTAATGGCTTGTTTTGACTTTGGCTCTCGAAGCCTAAGTGGCTGTGGGAGTGCAGTGTGCAGACACTAGTGGTGTAACCCAGCAGGTAGCTGAGCACCAGGCAAGGTCTCCCCCGAGCCTCCTCCAGGCTAAACAATCTCAGTTCCCTCAGCTGCTTCTCGTAAGGCCTGCGCTCCAGAGCCCTCACCTGCTTTGTTGCCCTTCTCTGGACGCGCTGCAGGGTCTCCACGTCTTTCCTGTAGTGAGGGGCCCAAAACTGAGCGCAGCACTCGAGGTGTGGCCTCACCGGAGCTTCACCCCGTTGGCCTCGGCCCAGCGATCAGCCTGTCCGCATCCCTCTGAAGGGCCTTCCTACCCCCGAGCAGATCGCCACCTCCTGCCAACTTGGTGTCACCTGCAAACTTACTGAGAGTGCACTCAGTCCCCTCATGGAATCGGAGTATCATAGCATCGCTCGGGCTGGAAAAGATCTGTAAGATCACCCAGTGCAACAGCAACCTGACCGTGCTACTCTAACAACCCTCCACTACATCGTGTCCCCGAGCACCACATCCAAATGGTTTTTAAACACGTGGTGGTGATGGTGACTCAACCACCTTCCTGTGCAGCTCATTCCAGTGCTTAACCACCCTTTCTGCAAAGAAGTTTTCCTGATATCCAACCTAAACTCGTCCTGGTGCAGCTTGAGATTATTTCCCCTCGTCCTGTCACCAGTGAGAAGAGACCAACCCCACTCTCGCTGTAAGCACCTGTCAGGCATTGGAAGAGAGCAATAAGGGCCCCCCCCGAGTCCTTTTCCCCTGACTAAACAGCCCCAGTTCCTCCAGTCTCTCCTCACAGGCCATATTCTCCAAGCCCTTCCCCAGCCTTGCTGCCCTTCTTTGGACCTGCTCCAGCACCTCCATGTCCTTCCTGAACTGAGCTGCCCAAAACTGAACACAGTGCTTGAGGTGAGGCCTCACCAGCGCTGAGTCCAGGGGCACGATGACTTCCCCAGTCCTGCTCACCACAGCATTCCCGATCCCAGCCAGGCTGCCATTGGCCTTCCTGGCCACCTGGGCACTCTGCTGGCTCATATTCAGCCATCTGCACACCAAGGTCCCTTTCCGTCAGGCAGCTCTCCAGCCATTCTTCCCCCAGCCTGTAGGGTTGGCTGGGGTTGCTGTGGGCAAAATGCAGGACTTGACCCTACGGAAACTCGTACAGTTAACTTTGGCCCATCGATCCAGTCTATCCAGGTCTCTCTGTAGCACCTCAGGCAGATCAACGCTCCCTCCCAACTTGGTGTCGTCTGCAAACTTATGGAGGGTGCGCTCAATCCCCGCAGAAGGTCGTTAGTAAAGGTGTTAATTAGAAGCGGCCCCAGTACTGAGCCCTGGGGGACACCACTCATGACAGGCCACCAATTGGATTTTACTCCATTGACCGCAGCTCTTTGGGCCCGGCTGCCTTGCCAGCGTTTCACCCAGCAGAGCGTGCGCCCATCCAAACCGTGGGCAGCCAGCTTCTCCATGAGGATGCTGTGGGGGAGTGGCAAAGGCTTTACTGAAGTCCAGGCAGACCACATCAACAGCCTCACCTTCACCCACTCAGCGGGTCACCTTGTCATAGAGTGAAATCAGGTTTGTCACACAGGATCGACGGTACATAAACCCCCACCTCACTACAGCCTCCCTGCAGGGAGTTATAGGGAGTGGTGAGGCCTCCCCTGAGCCTCCTCCAAAAGCCTGCGGTTGAGGGCAAGGAGGCCGTATGTCAAATAGCAGAGCCAAAGTCAAAATGGGAAATGCAGGCTTCCTTAGGGACGGCAGGATGCTGTAGATTATGGACACCAAACTGTGGAACTGTGGAATAGGAAGAAGTGAAAGCAGAAATTTTGGACTGGAACCCAGAATGCCAAACAGCCTGTATTCAACTGAGAGCAGCTCTGATGTCTAGCCCTGCTTAGGACTGCCCAGTCTGGGAAAGCCTTTTGAATTGTATGGGCATGAAAGACGTCACTTTGCAATGGGAGAGTTAGCAGCACACTGGATCCGGGAAGAGACCAGCAGGCTAATTCTTTAGACAACTGGACCAAGTAAATATAGTGCGGATGTCACGTTTACGAGCAGTGGCAGCAGACCTGAGGCACTGCTGGAATGCAGGAGGAAAGCCTGGGTCCCAGCCCACCCACAGCTGGCAGCAGCCGTGGGGCTGCCCGCGTGTCCCAAACACAGCGGCATCCCCACGATGACAGAAAGACCCCCAGAATGGGCTGCAGCTGCCAGCCTGGCCTCCGCCACGTTGTGCGTTGGAAACGTTGTGCCTGCTGGAGTCGGGACCAGAACCCAGCTCAGCCTGAACCGGGCTGGGGGGAGGAAGGAGTGGGTTGGGTGCCGGGGAGAAGAGATGCCCGTGGTTGCAGCCCCTAAAGCTGCCCACCTCGGGAAAGGCAGAGAAGAATCAAACTGACAGTGGCATGATGGAACTGTCACTTGTATTGATGGATTGTGGTGACTTTACACAGCAATTGGAGCTGGCACACGGCTGCTTCTGCAACATCAGTGGGGCCGGCGGTTGATGTTCTGGGCCCGACGTGGAACCCGGGAGCGGCTTCGCCCCTGGGCTGGCCGTCGCCGCCTGGACCGGCTCCTGCGGCGTCTTTGGGGCTGGCTGTTGGTCTCTGCAGCCTGATGTTTGAGAGGGGAGCGGCTCCGAGTCCTGGCCCGCAGTGTCTGCCTGGACTGTGTTCTTTCAGCCACCGTGGAAACCCTCGAGGACCACGGTGCTCCCTGTCTTGAGTTTGTGTGGGTGCAGCTCTCAGCCCTTGAGGCTGGTGCCTGCCTGCTCCCACGGCGTGTTCGGGGCTGGCTTGGAGAATCTGGGGCCCGGCGCTGCAACGGAGAGCGGCTCCTTGTCCGGGCCCGCTGTCCCTGTCTGCGCCTCGAGGACGCTGATGTCTCCTGGCTGGCAGCGTTTGGAGTGCGGCTCCCAACAGTCGGGGCAGCATTACGGCTGCTCCCACGGTGTGGTCGCGGCTCGTCATCTTCATCCCGCTGTGCACGCGGGCGCATTCTCCTCCGGTCTGACCTGCGCTGGCTGGACAGGCCGCTGCTCTCAGGCCCGGGGGAAGAGTTAGCTGGCCCCGATGGTGCCTGGCTGGTGGTGCTGCAGCCAGGAAGGCCTGAGTTGGTGCTGGAGGCTGTAAGGAGAGGCAGGAAAGTGAGCAGGATGGAATTGCAGCCACGGGGTGGAACTGACTCCCATTGGTGCTGGGCTAGAGGGATTTGAGCCAGGCGGCCCTCAGCAGCCGCTGCCAGGCCTCGCCTGGCCCCAGCCCAGCCACACGCGGCCGTTTGCCTCTTACCGGTGCCCTCTCCAGCACAGGCGTTGCACTCCCAGCTGGTTGTGCTGTCGCTCAAGTTGGAGCAGCACCGGTGAGTGCCTTGTGCGGCACAGGAGCTGCAGAGGAGCAGCTGCCAGGGCCTGGGGAAACAAACGGGTTGTGGCCGTGAGGACAAAGTGACCCGAGCCAGGGAGCGCCGGCACAGCTCTGGTGCCCAGTGTGTGCTCTCCCAGCCCGTGGTGAGGCTGCGATCCCACGCCGAGCCCCAGAGGGCTGCTGAGGGAACTCACCCCTCTTCCTCTGCCTGCTCTCTGCCATGTGGGCAAAGGCAGACGCTGGCATCGCAGCTCCCGTGCCTCTCCGGTAGTGATGCGTAGGCATCGTTGTCTTCCCATGTTGGTTGTCTGCCAAGGCAAGGAGGGAATGGAATGAGCACTGAGTGCTCCAGGACTAAAACTAATCCATGGCATCCCTCCCCTTCCTCCCGACGCCCAGTTCCAGCTTCCCAGTGATGCTGAGGCCCATGTGAATGGCTGCAAAGGACCAGGCCAGCTGGGGCAGTCCCTTGCCAAGGACAGCTCGTGTGCCCTCACATCTCAAGAGCCGGCTCAAAGACACCAACCTGAATGGGATTCGGATCCCCATAAAGCACATCTCCATAACAAACTTGTATTTATCTCTGCAGTGGGGGCATCGGAATTGATAACAACCGGCGCTCATGGCCTGTTCCTGCAGCAGAAACAGAACAGGGTGAGTGTGAGCCAGGCCTGGTGCTGCTGAGCACCTGCTGTGCTCATGGGGTGAGGAGAGGGCTCCTACCTGGATGCAAGCCCGGTGGAACCAGGCGTTTTGGCAGGCTGGGCACACCATGGTGCTGTAGGACACGCTGTCCCCCACGGGGTCCATGCAGATGATGCAGGTCGTGTCCTGCGCCGGTGCTGCCTCCACTGGCTGCTGTGGGCAATGCTCCATGCAGAAGGACCTGGGGGAAGATGGGAGGGACGGGCAAGGTGAGAAGTGCTGCGAGGAGGGCAGAGGAACAGGAAGGAGCCCCAGGCCTTGGCTCTGGCTCTGCCAGGCTGCTGGGAGGCGTCACGGCGCGCTCCTCGCTTCTTTGGCTGGTGCTGAAGCAGGGCTTGGAGGCTCGCAGGCCATGCCTGGCAGCCCTTACCTGTACTCTCCAAAGTACTGGGTGACGCATTCACCCTTGGAAGCGCAGGGGAGATGGAAGCTGCGGTCGCAGCCCATCTCTGCACAGTTGATGGTGGCCCCCCTCTTGCCACAGATGAAGCAGAGCTGTAAAGACCAGAGCATTTCTCATCAGCTGCAGGCTCAGGGCCTACGCAGCGGGCCCCGCAGCTCTGTGCAGGGCACGGGATGGGGGCAGGGCTGGCTGGCACTCTGCAGAGCTGCCTGCTGAACAGGGCTGGTCTGCAAGAGCAGGGATTTCTCTTGGGGCTGGCTGGAAGGGCTGGGATTGCTTTCCCTGGACCAGGCTAAGCTCTCCACGCCTCTCCGGGCGCCAAGCTCCCTGTTCCAGTCCAGTGCTCACCGTCTGTTCTGCCTCCCTCAATTTGAGTATCAGGTCTTTAAACCAAAAATATAGGCCAGTGTGGTCTTCCACAACTTCACAAAGACCACTGACAAATATCTGTACAAGAGGAAAGAGCAGGCTCTTGTTAGGGCAGAAAGGAGGGAATCACTGGTTGGAGGAAGGTGTCAGGAGGCACGTGGGAACTCACCACACAAAAAGTATGGAAATATAATTCACAGTGCTCTTCCATTTCCCCAAGGATGCTCGAGTCCTGATCCACTCGGCCGCAGAGCACGCATGCTGGAGAGGAGAGAGGAACAGCAGTGAGCGGCCTGCGCAGCCAGGTGCCCTGGGGGCTGTCCCAGGGGCTGCTGTGTGCCGGCCGTGCCAGCTGAGGGGCAGGGCTGGTGGCCGTGGAGAGCAAGGGGCACTGCAGGCCCAGTGCGGCCAGCAGGCGGCCACAGCGCAACCGCGGCTCCCCTGGCCAAGGAGCAGAGGGGCCCTGCGTGCCCCGCCTCCCCTCTCTGCCGCTGGCAGACCCCCAGCACCCCTCTGCCCTGCGTGCAGGGATTCATTGCTCTCACCTGGCTCCCTCGAGCCGGCGGCCTCCTGCGTCTCCGCAGTTGACTGAAACCACTTGCAGAGTCTCTGTCCCATCAGTGCTGGGCTTCGTCCTCCGCGTGACAACCTAGGGGAGAAGCGGGACGAGGCTGAGTTCTGAGCTCCGGCCCCGAGCGCTGGGGAACCCTCCTCCCTGGGCAGCCTCAGGCAGCCCCTTCCTCCCTGCTCACCTCACCAGGTTGCACTGAGCTCCGCCTGGGCCCCGCAGCCTTGGCTCTGTTCCGCACCCCGCGTGTCACAATGGCCATTCCGTGCTCATTTGTTTGTGCAAATGCTTCATTTAAGTTTCCTAAACTGTGTTATGGGATCAAAACCTCTACTGTGTAGAATCCGACCTCTCCTGTTAATCTCTGCCGAGGGCTCGCTGCCTCGTGCGTGCTGAGCGAGCCGTCCTTTTTGGTGGCATGGATCGAGGCTGGGGGCCCGAGGCCTCCATGGATGGTCTCAGCCATCTGGGCAGCATCCAGCGCTCCTTCCCAGGGTCCAAATCCTCATGCTGAAAAGCCGCAGTGTCTGCTTTGCAGGTCAGATTTCTACTTTGGAATGTGCAGAACCTCTGCTGAGGAGCAAAAGCTGCCTGTCACTGTGCAAACTGCTGTTGTAGGGGCTCCAGCCCACCTTGGAAGGACCCAGAGCCTTTACTTCAGGGCACTAAACCTCCTTTATCGGTCCCATCCCATTCTTTCGAGGCACAAATGCGGCTTTGAGGGCCTAAGTAATGGCTTGTTTTGACTTTGGCTCTCGAAGCCTAAGTGGCTGTGGGAGTGCAGTGTGCAGACACTAGTGGTGTAACCCAGCAGGTAGCTGAGCACCAGGCAAGGTCTCCCCCGATCCTCCTCCAGGCTAAACAATCTCAGTTCCCTCAGCTGCTTCTCGTAAGGCCTGCGCTCCAGAGCCCTCACCTGCTTTGTTGCCCTTCTCTGGACGCGCTGCAGGGTCTCCACGTCTTTCCTGTAGTGAGGGGCCCAAAACTGAGCGCAGCACTCGAGGTGTGGCCTCACCGGAGCTTCACCCCGTTGGCCTCGGCCCAGCGATCAGCCTGTCCGCATCCCTCTGAAGGGCCTTCCTACCCCCGAGCAGATCGCCACCTCCTGCCAACTTGGTGTCACCTGCAAACTTACTGAGAGTGCACTCAGTCCCCTCATGGAATCGGAGTATCATAGCATCGCTCGGGCTGGAAAAGATCTGTAAGATCACCCAGTGCAACAGCAACCTGACCGTGCTACCCTAACTCTAACAACCCTCCACTACATCGTGTCCCCGAGCACCACATCCAAATGGTTTTTAAACACGTGGTGGTGATGGTGACTCAACCACCTTCCTGTGCAGCTCATTCCAGTGCTTAACCACCCTTTCTGCAAAGAAGTTTTCCTGATATCCAACCTAAACTCGTCCTGGTGCAGCTTGAGATTATTTCCCCTCGTCCTGTCACCAGTGAGAAGAGACCAACCCCACTCTCGCTGTAAGCACCTGTCAGGCATTGGAAGAGAGCAATAAGGGCCCCCCCCGAGTCCTTTTCCCCTGACTAAACAGCCCCAGTTCCTCCAGTCTCTCCTCACAGGCCATATTCTCCAAGCCCTTCCCCAGCCTTGCTGCCCTTCTTTGGACCTGCTCCAGCACCTCCATGTCCTTCCTGAACTGAGCTGCCCAAAACTGAACACAGTGCTTGAGGTGAGGCCTCACCAGCGCTGAGTCCAGGGGCATGATGACTTCCCCAGTCCTGCTCACCACAGCATTCCCGATCCCAGCCAGGCTGCCATTGGCCTTCCTGGCCACCTGGGCACTCTGCTGGCTCATATTCAGCCATCTGCACGCCAAGGTCCCTTTCCGTCAGGCAGCTCTCCAGCCATTCTTCCCCCAGCCTGTAGGGTTGGCTGGGGTTGCTGTGGGCAAAATGCAGGACTTGACCCTACGGAAACTCGTACAGTTAACTTTGGCCCATCGATCCAGTCTATCCAGGTCTCTCTGTAGCACCTCAGGCAGATCAACGCTCCCTCCCAACTTGGTGTCGTCTGCAAACTTATGGAGGGTGCGCTCAATCCCCGCAGAAGGTCGTTAGTAAAGGTGTTAATTAGAAGCGGCCCCAGTACTGAGCCCTGGGGGACACCACTCATGACAGGCCACCAGTTGGATTTTACTCCATTGACCGCAGCTCTTTGGGCCCGGCTGCCTTGCCAGCGTTTCACCCAGCAGAGCGTGCGCCCATCCAAACCGTGGGCAGCCAGCTTCTCCATGAGGATGCTGTGGGGGAGTGGCAAAGGCTTTACTGAAGTCCAGGCAGACCACATCAACAGCCTCACCTTCACCCACTCAGCGGGTCACCTTGTCATAGAGTGAAATCAGGTTTGTCACACAGGATCGACGGTACATAAACCCATGCTGACTGGGCCTGATCCCCCAGTTTACCTTTAATTGATCCATGATGGCTCCCAAGATTGTCCGTTCCATGTTCTTCCCTGGCACTGATGCAAGACTGATAGGTCTGTAGCTACAGGATCACCTTTCTGGCCCTTTTTGAAGACGGGTGTCACATTTGCCAGTCTCCAGTACACAGACTGTCAAAGGATGATGGCAGCCACATCCGCCAACTCCCTCAGTGCCCTAGGGTGCAGACCACCCCCCCATGGACTTGTGAGTGTGCAGGTTTCAGAGCAGGTCCAGAACCATCTCATCATGGATTATGCAGGGCCTATTCTGTTCCTCATCCCTATCTACCAGGGCAAGGGGCTGTGTGCCCAGGGAGCAACGAGGCAAATAAGGCTTTAAGCACCTCAGCTAGATCATCAATATAGATATTAAACACGATGGGCCCCAATCCCGACCCCTGGGGAATGTGAGAGACGCTCGACTCCAATGATTTCTGATCAGGCAAAGATCTCAGTGAAGCAGCAACGTTTTTATTCATTATGGCAACAGTGGGCAGGCGACCCCGTTATGGCAGGGAGACATTGGGCGCACGGTCAGTTGAACACTTCTCATTATAAACCTCTTTCTCCCAGTGCAGGTTTTCACTTTCCTGTTTCCTACTGGCCAAGTACTCCAGGCGTTCAATCCATGCAACACAGTTAATAACTCGTCTTTCCATATGAGAGGTACCACCAACCTCACGTTTTCAGGATCATTTTGTACATCTCCATGCATACAGGAGAGCAATATTTCTTGAAGCTGTTATGCCTGCTTCCTCCTATGCCAAGCTTTCCTCACTCTGCTCTGTATTTTTCCTTCCCTTACTACTTAGAAAGGGCATATATAAGAGTAAACCTACAATAAAATATGTAAAGGCTACTAACCCCAATTCCTGATTTATGAGCCCTAATATGTTGTGCTAGCAAGCATAAAATTAATTCTGTATCTACACTTACTTAGCAGTTTTTCCCTCGCATATTCCTTTGCAAAAGCTCACATTGCTTGTGTTTGAACATGGTTGGTGTTGCTCAAGCCCTCTGTGTTGATTTCTTACCCCGGTCCATGCCCTAGCCTCTGCTCTGATCTGCTGCTCAGCATCCTTCTTGCAGCAGCTGCTTTGTAAGAAGGTTACAAGTTCAGTAAAGGCCTATACCCTGGTATTAGAAGTTTCTACTGCTGTCACAGAATATCTCTAGATCTGTCCATGACAGGGGAGCAGCAGGCCCACCAGCCCGAAAAGAAAGAGGGGGGGGGGGGTGTCAATGGTTTGCGGGGCCTTGGGTGGATCCCACCTGTCCCCATGGGCTTGTGACCATCTAGATGAAGAAGTTGGCCTCCATGTGTTTCCACCTGAATCGTGGGGCCTTATTCTGCTCTCCGTCCCAGACTTCCAAGTCGGGGGGTGGAGAACCGCTCTGACTTTTAAAGACAGGTGTAAAGAAGACACTGAGACCTCAATCTTTCCCTTATCCTCAGCAGTCAGTTCTCCACCCCATCCGGTAAAGGATGAAATCCTCCTTATCCCTCCTCTTATTGTTAACGTATTTGTAAGAAGGTTTTTTTGTTCTCTTTTCCTACAGTGGCCACGTTGAGTTCATGTTGGGCTTTCGTCTTTCTAATTTTCTCCCCGCATGATCCTGACCACTTCTGTGTGCTCCCCCTGAGTCGCCTGTCCCTTCTTCTACAGGAAGCAAACTCTTCTCTCCCAGAGCCTCAGCAAAAGTTCCCTGCTCTTCTCTGCTGGCTCATTTTACAGCACAGGGGAACAGCCTGCTCCTAGGCCTCTGAGACTGCGGGAATACAGGAAAACCTGTTCAGAGCAGCAGCTGTGGAGCAAGATAAACAGCATGAGAACCAAGGACACCTCTAGAAGAAGAAAGAACGGCTCACGGCTCTGAATGGATAAGCACCTGCATGAACGGTTGAAGAGTGCTTTGTAGAATGCTCTGCTGGCATGTAAAGCTGGATGGGAAATTGTAGGGTGGATGGGCAAGCTAGAAAAGAAAACTTGTGAAGGTATGCAAGTGATGTGGGAACTTGTAATAAACGATTTGGATCGTTCACATCTGAGTCCGTGAATCAGATGCTGCATAAGACTTCCTTCTTGAGGAGCAACCAGCCTTCCTGGACCCCCTTGCTCTTCAGAGCTGTATCCCAAGGGACCCTCCCGACCGGCGTCCTGAACAACTGAGAGCCCGACCCCCGCTCCTGACTCCACCAAGAATACTGAACTCTACCATCTCGTGCTCACTCTGCCCTTGACAGCACCCGACCTCCACATCTCACACCGGTCCTCCTCTGCTTGTGAACAGCAGCTCCAGTGGGGCACCTCCCTGGTGGGCTCTCTTACCAGCTGCGCCAGGAGGCACACATCTTCCACACACTCTAGAAACCTCCAGGACTGCTGCTTCTGCACTGTACTGTATCTCCAGCATATATCAGGGAAGTGGAAGTCCGCCATGAGAACAAGGGCTGGAGATTGCACGATTTCTGCCAGCTGCTCCTAGAGCACCTCACCTGTTTCTTCTGGTCTGGAGGAGACCCCCACCAGGACGGCGGCAGTGTCGGCTCTCCCCCTGATCTTTACCCACAGGGACTCAGCCTGATCATTCCCAGCCCCAAGCTCAACAACACTGAAACACTAACATAGAGAGCCATGCCACCATCCCTACTTCGTTGCCGATCCATTCCAAAGAGCTTACAGCCCTCCACTGTAGCAGTACACAAGTGGGAGTGATGGCAACTAAGTCATAGTTTGCCTGCTGCACAACGGCTTCCGGCTCATCCTGGTTCTAGCAGACGCTGTGTGCGCTGATGCGGATGCACTTCAGTTAAGACATTGTCACCCCAACTCCAGCATTCTTCCCTTTCAGACCTAATGTAAAGCAAGCATAAAGTACTCTCAAAAAAAGCATCAGTGATGACATGCCTTGAGTACATTGTTGAGTTCAGGGCCCCTGACTACAAGAAAAACATGGAGGCCCCACAGTGTGCACGTGGAAGGGCAACGGGGCAGGAAAGGGTCTGGAACAAAAGTCCCAAGAGGAGCGGCAGAACGAACTGGGGTTGTGCAGTCTGGAGGGGGCTCAGGGGAGGCCTCACCACGCCGTATAACTCCCTGAAGCGAGGAGCGTGCTGTGACGCCTCCCAGCAGCCTGGCAGAGCCAGAGCCAAGGCCTGGGGCTCCTTCCCGTTCCTCTGCCCTCCTCGCAGCACTTCTCACCTTGCCCATCCCTCCCATCTTCCTCCAGGTCCTTCTGCTGGGTGCATCGTCCACATCAGGCAGTGGAGGCAGCGCCGGTGCAGGACACGACCTGCATCATCTGCATGGACCCCATGGGGGACAGCGTGTCCTACAGCACCATGGTGTGCCCAGCCTGCCGACACGCCTGGTTCCACCGGGCTTGCATCCAGGTGGGAGCCCTCTCCTCACCCCATGAGCACGGCAGGTGCTCAGCAGCACCAGGCCTGGCTCACACTCACCCTGTTCTGTTTCTGCTGCAGGAACAGGCCATGAGCGCCGGGTTTCCTTGCTTCCAATGCCCCATCTGCAGAGACAGATACACGTTTATTATGGACATGCGCCTTATGGGGATCCGAATCCCATTCAGGTTGGTGTCTTTCAGCCGGCTCTTGAGATGTGAGGGCACACGAGCTGTCCTTGGCAAGGGGCGGCTGCTGAGGGCCACCTGGCTCAAATCCCTCTAGCCCAGCACCAATGGGAGTCAGTTCCACCCCGTGGCTGCAATTCCATCCTGCTCACTTTCCTGCCTCTCCTTACAGCCTCCAGCACCAACTCAGGCCTTCCTGGCTGCAGCACCACCAGCCAGGCACCATCGGGGCCAGCTAACTCTTCCCCCGGGCCTGAGAGCAGCGGCCTGTCCAGCCAGCGCAGGTCAGACCGGAGGAGAATGCGCCCGCGTGCACAGCGGGATGAAGATGACGAGCCGCGACGACACCGTGGGAGCAGCCGTAATGCTGCCCCGACTGTTGGGAGCTGCACTCCAAACGCTGCCAGCCAGGAGACATCAGCGTCCTCGAGGCGCAGACAGGGACAGCGGGCCAGGACTCGGAGCCGCTCCCCTCTGGAACATCGGGCTGCAGAGACCAACAGCCAGCCCCAAAGACGCCGCAGGAGCCGGTCCAGGCGGCCAGGGCCAGCCCAGGGGCGAAGCCGCTCCCGGGTTCCACGTCGGGCCCAGAACATCAACCGCCGGCCCCACTGATGCTGCAGAAGCAGCCGTGTGCCAGCTCCAATTGCTGTGTAAAGTCACCACAATCCATCAATACAAGTGACAGTTCCATCATGCCACTGTCAGTTTGGTTCTTCTCTGCCTTTCCCGAGGTGGGCAGCTTTAGGGGCTGCAACCACGGGCATCTCTTCTCCCCAGCACCCAACCCACTCCTTCCTCCCCCCAGCCCGGTTCAGGCTGAGCTGGGTTCTGGCCCCGACTCCAGCAGGCGCAACGTTTCCGACGCACAACGTGGCGGAGGCCAGGCTGGCAGCTGCAGCCCATTCTGGGGGTGTTTCTGTCATCGTGGGGATGCCGCTGTGTATGGGACACGCGGGCAGCCCCACGGCTGCTGCCGGCTGTGGGTGGGCTGGGACCCAGGCTTTCCTCCTGCATTCCAGCAGTGCCCCAGGTCTGAGGGCTGCTGCTGCTCTGGGGATGCTGCCAGGCTTGGGGTGACGCAGCCCATCGAGCGCGTGAGCCACTCTTCTCTGTCCCAAAGTCCGGCGTCACGCCTCCTGTGCGAGCAATACCAGTGCTGCCGCTGCTCCTAAGCGGGATGGCCACTCTCTACTTACTCGCTCCAACTGCCCAGAGAAGCAGCCCGCCGCTCTCTTCTCCCAACACACCCAGCGCAGCGCGTGAAATTTTGTTGCTGTGCCACAGCCATCTTGCAGCCCCGAACGCGGTCGCAGCCCCCTTCGCTCTCGGAACACGGCGCGTTAGCGGCCTCGTCTAATTCCAGCTTTCCAAACCTTCCTTCCCACGCCCGCTCCGGGCCCGTCGGCCGCACTCCGCCGCGCACCCAGCGCTCTCCGGCCGCTGTCCCCGCGCCATCCCCCGCCGGTCGGGTCGTCTGGACGCTTTCCCTCCCCCTCCGGTCTCGCTGGCCGCCGCGCATCCGTGGACGCCCCGCGCGGACTCACGCTGCGGGTGCGGAGCGCGGTCCGCTCGGCGCCTCCGCCCGTCTCCCAGCAACGCGCCCGCCCTCTCGCGTGGCCCTCGCGGCTCGCCGTAGCGCGGTGGCGGCGGCGGCGGCGCGCCCGGGCTGGCGGTGAGTGCGGAGCGTTGGGCCGTGGCGCCCGGGTTCCGTTTCAGCCCGCGCGCGGCGGTGCGCCGAACGGGGCCCGGCCCAGGGGCTGCCCCTGGCAGCGCGACCTCAGCCGGGGGGGGCGGAGAGGCCGCGTCCGCGTCCTTCCGGGCCGGGGCCGGGGCCGGGGCTGGGGCCGGCGGCTCGGTGGGAGGCTGCCCGCTTGTGGCCTTGGGGACGTCGCCGCGTTTGGCACGCGCGGGCAGAGTCGGGACCCGGGCTTTCCTCGTGCGTTCGGGCGGTGCCGCGGGTCTGAGGGCTGCCGCTGCTCTGGGGATGCCGCCGGGCTGGCGGTGCCGGCGTTGTCTCCTCGCCCTTGCCGCGATGGCAGGGTGGAGTGCAGCTTCCAGACAAAGCTGCGTTGGCTGGCTCTCCTGCCCATCCTGTGCCAGCCCGATTTAAAACCTGGCCTCCCCCGTGCCGTTTGTTCTGCGCTTCCTCTAAAAAGGGTTCTGCTTGTGGCTGCCCAGAGTGGGGAGTCCAGTGCCTGGCCTCAGTCAGAGCGCACGTTTGCTGGGGCTGCATGGCCGGCTTTGTTTTTAGGCACCGAATCACCGATCCGAGCGGTGAAGAGGCTGATGTGTGTGCTGCTCTGCCCTCTCTCTGACCTGCTGGCAGCACCATGGATATGTGCTGTGGCACGGCAGCAGTGCTGCACCCTCCTACTTGTTTAGGGCGTCCAGAAGCTCGGGTCCCTGGCTGGTCACTCCTCGTGGCACTTGCCAAGGTCCTAACTTGTCTCAGACCAACTTGCTACACGCTCTGCATAAGATGCGTCACAGAATCTCAGCATGGTTTGACTGAGAGGGACCTTACAACCCCCAGCCCCACCCCTGCCATGGTCTGGCTGCCCCCCAGCTTGGGCTGCCCAGGGCCCCTCCATGGCCTGGGACACCTCCAGAGATGGCACCCACAGCTCTGGACAGCACTGCCAGCGCTTCACTGCCCACTGAGCAAAGAATTTCTTCCTACTGTCTCACCTAAATCTCCCCTTTTAGTTTGAAATTGTTACCCCTTGACCTTTTACTATCAGTCTGTGTAAGAAGTCATTCTCCCCCCTACGTGAAAGCTCCCCTCAAGTACTGGAAGGTCACAGTGAGTCTCCCTGGAGCCTTCTCTTCTCCGTGCTGATCACCCCCATCTCCCTCAGCCTGTCTCCATAGGAGAGGTGCTCCAGCCCGCTGAGCATCTTCGTGGCCTCCTCTGGCCCCGCTCTAACAGCCCCACAGCCCTCCTTTACTGTGGCCCCCAGGCCTGGACGCAGTGCTCCAGGTGGGGCCTCAAGAACGCAAAGCAGAGGTGGAACAATCCCCTCCCTGCCTGCTGCCCCCCTCTTTTGATGCAGCCCAGGATGCTGTTGGCCTTCCCAGCTATGAGTGCACACTGCTGGCTCATACAGAACTTTTTGTCCATCAATACCCCCCAGGTCCTTCTCTTAGGGCTGCTCTGAAAGAGCTATTCTCCCAGTCTGTTCACAGATCTGGTATTGCCCCAAGCCAAGTACAGCACCTTGCCCTTAAACTTACTGAACTTTGTTAAGCTCTCATGGGCCCACTTCTCAAGTTCGTCCAGGTTCCTCTGGATGGTATCCTTTCCTTCCATTTTATCAGCTGCACCACCCAAGTTGGTGTAATCCACAGACATGCTAATCCCACTGTATGTGTCATTGGCAATGATGTTGAAGAGCACTGGTCTTAAGGTGGTTCCCCTGAGGGACACCGCTTGTCACTGGATCCCACCTGGACATAACGCTGCCACCAGCCACTTCCTTACCCACCAAAGAGTCCTCCCTTCAAGTCCATATCTTGGGAAAGATTGGGAAAATCCTGGGAAGATTTTGGGCAGTTGGACAAGTGGATCTGAGAGCAGGATTGGCAGCAGTCACCAGCTTTGGGCTCTTGTGTGGGGGCGTTAGTGGTGGCACTTTGGCTTCTGTGGCTTAACCCAGTTGTTTACTCCAGGTGCATGAACCCACGAGAAAGGGGGAAGTCCTCAGGCGGCAGCATCCTCTCCAGAAGTTCTGTTCTAGCTGTCTGTCTTACCTCCACTCTGGAGCTGGTGCCTGTGAAGAATGACCTCACGGGGTGCTGGGACGGCTCTGTCAAGGAAGAACTACAGGCTGAGCACTGGGCCAGACAAGTCCAAGGTTGCAGGTATGGGCTGAGCATGTATGAGCAGGACTGCTGTGGATCGGGGTGAGCGGCCCCGGCCTCACCTGAGATCACCTGCGTTCCAGTTGCACTTATCTTGCTGACAAGAGGCATAGCGGGGCTGAAACTGAGTAAATCTCTGAGCTGAGGTGAGATTTTGGGAGGGCCTTTCCTGCCCTATGAAGGACTCCATCCGCAGCTCAGGTCACGGTGCCCTGTCTTCAGCGATGAGAGGCTGGAGGGCATGGTGTTGCTTGTCTTTGTCCCATCTGACTCGGGGCAGATGGCTTCTCAGGTTCTGAGATCAGTCTTTTCCTTGGAAACGATCTCAGGTTCTGAGATCAGTCTTTCCTTGGTACCTGGTAAGCAGTCCATTTTCTCCTGGACTGACCAGTCCATCAGAATCGTGCGTTAAGATCACAGATGTGGGATTTGAGGGCTCTGTGGCACCCAGAGCTTTGTGACACAAGGGATAGCTTTGCACAGTGAAAGCTGGTGTGAGGTGTACAGGATTAAAGAGAGCTGTGAATTCAGTCTAGATGATCTGTGTCTGCAAGCCTTCCTGTCTCTGCATCTTTAGTGCAGTTAACCTAAAATGTTCCAGGACATCAGGAATTGTAACACCAGAATTATTTGTGTTTGTTTATGGGGGTTTGGTTTTGCTTTTAAATTGGATCCCCACTTTCAAATGTGAAGTTACTTTATCTGGCAGCAGTAAGCAGGGCTCCTGAAGATGTCGTCTCCCCCTGGGGAACCACTGGTAGCCAGAACCACTGGTAGCCTCCCCTCTTGCAGAAATGCACTCGCTCCACGTTGCTGGGCTGTAGGGCTGTTAGTGAAGAGAGCGAGAAGGTAAATAACTTCTTGGAGCTCCGTCTTCCCCTGTGTTGGTCTGTGAACCTTGTTGCTTGCACTCGAAGTTAATGCTTTGATTTCTAACTCTCTGAGCTTCTTTTCCTCTCTCTTTTTTTTTTCCCACAAGGGATTGTGAACAGCAGGCTACTGAATGACTATCTGCATCGGGTCTTCTCCAGTGCTGATGGGAACCAGCCTGCAGCTGCTTACAGGTATGGACTTCTTAGTCTCTAGATGGCAGCGATGCTGCATCAGTTCCCTGCATGTAAAACCCCATATAGAAGGTCACGAGGCAATATTTCTGAAATAAATAGGCAGGTATGCGTTGCCCTTCTCATTCCTGTTCCCTCTCTGCTTGTGAAGAAGTGCAAAATGCACAGGTTTTAGCTAGTGAAAAGTATGTCATCAGTGCCCGGTAAATTGAATGCAAGGCTGCTACTTGTACATTGAAGACCAAATGCTTCTCAGGCAGTGGAACTGTCAGTCCTTTTCTTGTTAGGAGTCACCAAAGGAAAAGGAACACGAAATTGCTGTACAGTGTCTTTTTCCATCTCTTTGCTTTCATTTCTCCTTGTAGTCCAGCAGCTTGTAGCTTTGGATGAGAGGAAGGTGCTTTGCATTTAAATGTTTTGGCAGAGGCAAGTCAGCTGGGTGCAGAGCAGGTCCAGGTGTTGCAGAGAGGCAGGCGCCTGGCTGCTGCTGGGTGGGCAGTGCTGCAGAGTGGGCTGGGGTCATGTTCTGCAGCCATACTTAGTAGTGCCAGCTCAAATGTGAGCCTGTGGCTGCTAAAAATAGCTCTGGGTTCTCTGTGTGCTTGATGAGCTGAGGTTCTTGTGGGGGAGGCGACGTGGGTTGTGTTACTTGGCCACAAGCTCTCCTGCCAACATGCCTTGGTTGTTCCAGTGCCCAGTGTTCCAGTTTTGCTTGTCGGTACTGCTGACTTCTTTGCCTGGCAAGCACAGAACTGATAGTTGGTTGGGTCGGTCCCTCTGTTTGCAGCTCCCTCCCAGTCTTCTCCCTGGACTTGGTAGAAAGCCCAGTAGCAGTCAGATTGGCCTCAAAAATAGTATTTACTCCATGAGAGCAACTTCTACGGTGTGCTGTGTTGTCTTTTGGGGAGCTCGTTGTAAACCTCTCTGGCTGTCTCCTCTCCATCTGTCTCGTGCTCTTCTGCCCCTTTCCTGCACTCCTTCTCCATGCTAGCTGCTGATACAGCTGCTTTGCTGAAGCCACTCTCTCCTGCCAATCCAAAGCTGCTTCTTTGGTTCCGCTTCTGTGCATCTTCACATCCATTGGACTTTCAGAACATCTCTCACCACTTCTTCAAAAAGCGCCTGGTCCCAAAGGATTGGAATGGTTGTTCCACAGATGAGTGGAAATGGGAGCCAGGATAGGAAAAGCCAGCAATTCTCACAGTAACAAAGGGAAATCACGATGGCCCCACAAACACAACACAAGCAGTGCTGTTCTGTTGATCTTTGGGAAGTTTTAAAAGGAAAAGAGCATGAAATGACAAAGTTTGCTGCTATTACAAAGTGATGTTGTGGAAGGGGAGCAGCCCCAACTTTACACGTAAAGTAGTGGGATCTGGGCTGATTTCTGCTGCATAGGAATGAATGGGAGATGAACTCTTCAGTAAGTTAGGAAAAAAAAACAGATGGAAAGCAAATGATTGTTAGCAAAGGGATTCTGGAAAAGGAAAGTCATTATGCCACAGAATGAATTTGTGGTCAACCCTCATCTTGATTAGCTTGCTGTGGTTGCACCAGCTCCAAAAGGCTATCTTGGAGCTGTGGAGAGGAAGGGTAAGAGCAACAGCCACAAGTCTGGAAGGTCTGCTGTACAAGGAATAACTAAGTGAGCCAATTTTGAGACGAGAGAACGGAGAGGGTCTGTGTGGAAGGTCTCTGCAGTGGTGGACTGGAGGGTGTTGGCGAGGCATTTTACTTTATTACACAAAGTGTGAAGACAGAATGTTTGTGGCTGTTCTCATGGCGATGATGCTGGGCGAGCTTGACCTCTATCTGAGCTGCTACAGCTGCTGATACGATCTTCTTTCTGGTTTTGTATTATGAAGTACTTGGGAAAAGAACTAAATCCTGTCCTGTGCTGTGTTTGTATGATGCCAGCCTCAGCAATGTCCCAGTCTTTACTTATTGCCAGTACAGTCTGGCAAAATACTCCTCAGCAGGCTGAAGACTGAAGGATCCTCTGTTAACTGCTTCATTTGTTCGCACCTGTTTGGTTCTTGGTTCGTCCATCGCACCGGGATGCTGGTCAGCAAATTCCTCAGATCCATGACAAGAAACTCAGATCGACAGAGCTTCCTGGTTTGTGTGTCAACACGACCCCATGCTGACACGTGTCCAGACTGAAAGGCTTTAAAACTTGAAGGCAGAGCTTTCTGAAGTGCTCCTGTGTGTGTTTATTCCCTAGAAAGCACCTGACGTTCCAGAACCTGCAGGAGCACCTCGACCGGTTGCTAGCAGAGGAGAATGGCTCTGAAGACAGCCAAGGTAGGAGGCACAAGATGCCTGCAGTCTGTGTTTGTGCTGTCTGACTGGGGGGAACAAGTAATGTCATGCAACACAGTTCCCTGAGTAAGCAGTTTTCTGCCATCTGGTGCTCTAATTTATTGCCCCTGTTCATCCTGCCTGCTAGCAGCCCATCAGACAGCCCTCAAGCAGGTCTGCTTGTTGATGGAGGAGGCCAGTTCCCAGGTGGCAATGCCTGAAAAAGCAGCTTTGGAGCAGTAGTTGGATATATTTCAATGATAGCGACGTGCAGAGCCTTTGCCATGACCAGCTGTGAGGAGTGCTGTCCTCACTGGAAATCATAGAGGCCTGCAGATGATTTCTGTCCATGGGTCTCTGCTGTGGGTGTCTGGTTAGGGCCTCAGCCTGTTGCCTCTGTTCTTGCTAGCATCTATTTCCCTGAACCAGGTAGGAAGTGGCAGGATGCATCCTGGCTCTTCTCCTACAAAGCATTTTTCTTGCAGACCACAGGCAGAGCTTGCCCTCAGTGATGTGATACGCTGGCCAAACATTTGGCTCAGAGTTTGACCTTTGAACTTTGCAGAGAGAAAACTTTCAGATGACATGAAGGCTTCATAAATGAAGCCTTTATCATTTATGACCTGACTGCTGCTTAGCTCAGGCCTAGGCTGTTGCTGTGCAAGCTTCCTTTTAGATCTCATGGGTGTCCTGAAGTTCTTTCCTGAAGTTCTCACGGTCTGATGTGTGTAACACTGAGTGCAGAATTCAGGTACCATTGCAGTCTATCTGGCAACTCTTCAGAGCTACCTTTAAATCCTGCACATCTTTTTCTAACAAGTTATCTGCAACTCTCTGTTTCAGATCAGTTGACAGAGGGCCGGCTCGGTCCCTCTACTGTGGTTCTGGACCACACGAGTGGCTTTGAGGGGCTCCTGCTGGTTGATGATGACTTACTTGGGGTGAGTGTGATGCTGGCTGTTGCAGGAAACGGGCTTGTGAGACTAAAAGCTCTCGGTTTGTTTGTCATGGCAGGTCCCTTTCACTGCCTTTGTAATGTGGTGTTAAATGGAATGTACTCAAAAAGCTGAGGAGTCCTGGAGGAAATGATCTCTCCTGGGAAAAGGTCTAGCAGTACCCCCAAGTCTTAGCAAGCTCTGAGTGGAGCTGCAAGGGTGGCCCAATGGCTCACAGAAGAGCTTGGCTAAGCAAGAGGAGGGAATGGCAAAAACTTTTCTGTCCCTCCCTTCAGTGGCTGCCTCTTCCTTCCTTTCTTGTTATGTTGTTTAACAGTGAGAACAAGCTGAGGCCAGGCTGTGCTGCTGTACTTTTTCCTTTCTCCTTTGTCTCTGTCAGTTTCCTGCTGGTTTGCCAGCTGATATTCTTCACTACACTTTGGGTTTGAGGCCTTATTGCCTAACTTTGTAAAATCTTCTGTTTATTGGTCCAGGTGATTGGCCACAGTAACTTTGGCTCTATCAGGGCCACAACGTGCGTGTACAAAGGTAAGAAGATAAGTGGGTGATGCTTTGGTTAAGATCCCAGGAAGAACGCATGGAGAGCACAGGAAATCTTGCATATGTTGCAGTTCCAAAGCTCTGTCTTCCCAAATTCACCCACTGGTTTTTCAGGAAGTCAGGAGGGTGGAGAATTGTGTGGTGCCCAAGTGAAAAGCTGGGAGGGGAGTCCTGGGGATGTTGCAAATACGCTTTGTGCGCCAGGTTATTTTCACATTCTACTCCTCTAACAGTGAGTCAAGTGGCACGGATTTACTGTGTGGTCTCTCTGTTTTTTTTTCAGGGAAATGGATTTATGAGGTGCTTATCTCCTCCCAGGGACTCATGCAGATTGGCTGGTGTACTCTCAACTGCAGATTTAATCAGGAGGTAGTGTAACTCGGCTGCTCGGTGTTCCTCCTCTTTGCCTGGGGGAGGCAGGCCCAGGCCAGCTCTTGTCAGGCACTGGGTGGGATGTTTGGTGCTGGGAAGGTTTGCCATCTGCAGAGTCTCACTATCTTGTCACTCTGCAGCACTTGAGAGGGAGGGTGACAAACATCCTGGGGGGCTGCTTGGACAGGGATTTGGAGTAATGTAGCAGTGCTCTTTTTCTAACCCAAATGTTAGTAGGGAACGGAGACAAAGATCGCAGGCCATGGGCAGACCGTGTCTGCTGTCAGCTGTGCTCCCTCTCTGCCGGTTTCCCCGTTGAAGCTGCTCTTGCAATGAGAGGAATCCTTTGTGCTTGTCCACATCTGAGTCTCCTCTTTGATCCTGTGATGCAGGAAGGAGTTGGAGATACTCCAGATTCCTATGCGTATGATGGCAATAGGGTGCGCAAGTGGAACGTGACCACTACCAACTATGGCAAAGTGAGTACTGTCCTTCCGGGAAGGGAAAAGAAAGCAGGTGTCTCTTGCTGACTGGATTCTCTGGGCCCTGTGGAAAACATTTGATTTGTGCTTCCAGCTTCAGTCTGCTCCTGGGGAGGCTGTGTGCCAGCACTGATTTGTACTTGAGGGATGCTGGGCACCCTGTGTGGATGCTTTGTTTGGCAGCCCGGCAGATTGATTCCCAGCACGGTGCTGCTGGTGATGTCTGAAAGGCTCTGGTTCTTTGTAACGCATCATAGGATGATGCAGTGTTGGGATAAGCCTTATTCTGATCCTATGCGTGTTCCTAATGCTCAAGGGAAAAAAGAAAATCCCATCCAGAGGCTTCCAGAAGTGTCTAAAAATGCAGTGTGAGCTGCTGGCAGAAGGAGCTGCCACTCCTTCTTCCCTGAATCATAAGGGACTGGTTGGCCTTATAGTCCTTCTTCTGATGTGGGAACTTGCTGGGTATGTGTCTAACATATTTTTTTCTCCTTTTAATGCAGTCTTGGGCTGCAGGAGACATCGTCAGCTGTCTGATAGACCTTGAGGAAGGCACTATTGCTTTCTGCCTGTAAGCATCTTTGCCCAGTTCCCTGTTCTGTGAATGGCTGCATATAATCTCCATGTTTCCTCGTTGCTCAGCAGGTTGCTGATCCCTCTTTCTTCCTCCTCCCCTTTATGTTCCTTGTTAGCTCCAGCCTCTGCTTTTCTTTGTTTTGAGAAGCCATCTAAGTGAGCTTTGAAGTCTCCTAAGTTTGGGTGAGAGCAGTTGTTAGAAGAGTGCTCAAGCTCCTAAATAGCTGTAAAGTTTGCTGGGATTTTGAAGGAGAAGGCACATGTTGGGATGCTTAATACTACAGTTGGCTGAGCCCCACTGGTTGCTCTCATGGCAAGTGTAGACATTGCCTGTGCTACAGTTGGAGGGAAGAGTGATAAATGTGATAAATCTCCAGCCTCCATCTCCACTGGACAGTGAGCAATGGCCAACCTGAGTACAAATTGTTCCCAGGCCCGAAACTACGGCCTGAGACAAGTCAGCTGGAATGAAAAACTGTCAGATGCTGCCATTGTCTTTCAGAGAAGAGTGGACTAAGACCATTATCCTTCTATTTCTATCAGTGTCAAGTGGATGAGGCCATAAGTGCCACCTGCCTTTAAAATGTCCTGGTAATCACACACCTTGTAAGGATTTGGGTTGCCCTTGGAGCTGAGCAGGGCTCTTCATACTGTGCTGAGTCCAATGCCTTTCCATGCCATTCTATGCAGATGATAATTCGGCTGTGATTCCCAGGGTAGTTGCTGAGCAGCACTGTGGTGTTTGCACATCTGCCAGGTTACAGGTGTTTAGAAGTAGGAATGACTGTGATGTCTGTGTTGGCAGGTCGCTGAGAGGGGAGTGCAGACACATGAATTGCCTGCTGGACCACAAAACCCTTTGACTGTGGCTAAAGTCTTGTGGGCTTTTCTTCTTTCAGAAACGGCATCTCTCTAGGAACTGCTTTTGATAACATCACGAGAGGTGCTGGAATGGCTTACTTCCCTGCCATCAGTCTCTCGTTCAAAGAGTCTGTTGCTTTTAACTTTGGAAGCCGTCCACTTCGATATCCTTTGGTTGTGGGGAGAGGAGATCTGAAGGGAGAAGAGCCTGCCCTGAGACCATCTATGGAGGCTGTGGAGTGTCTGTGTCTGAGTGCAGTTCACTCTCTTCTCTTAGCATTTCTGCTCAGGGCAGGATCAAGGAGAGAAGAAGCAGATATCCCTCAGCTGGACCACAGCTGCAGGGCCCACAGTCACCTTTGCTGGCACTAGCAGTTGCTGAAATTGAGTTTGCTTTGAGCTCTGAATCAACAGCTAATGCTTCAAGCCAGGAGCTGCCTGTTTCCAGGCATTCAGATCCTAGAAAATCTCACTTTCCAGACCTGGAAACCCTTCTGTGCTTCTGAATCTCTTGGCTTTGGGTCTGTTCAATCTCTCAGCCGTGCAGGACCGCTAGCATAGCAGAAGGATTGCATGCTGCCTTTCTGTGTGAAAGCTGAGACCTGCAGCAGTCCTGAATGTTCCCTTGATAGCTGTCATGGAGGCTTCTTTCTGATCAGAAGCAGTGAGGGAAGTATTTGGTACCCGCAGTGTCGAGGAGAAGATCTCATGGCTTGTGATGCACTCAGAAGTGCACTTTGCCTTGAACTCTGACGTAGGCGTGCATACCATAAAACACTTTGCTCAGATAAAGAAATCCTGAACGAATCTGACTGCATTTTACCTTAACACTTGCCCACTTATCCAGTGGAAGGCTACCGCCCCTTGCAAGACCCTCCTGTTGCAGACCTCGTGAAGGCTCGCAGGCTGCTGGGCTTCCTGAAGAATGTGATCCATATCGGGATCGATGTGACGGTAGGCGATGTTGCTGGGTGGCTCTGGGACATCGTGCCAGGAGATGTGGTTCTGCACTGTGAACGTGCTCAGATTTTTCCTGACACCTACGTGCTTTTACATGGGGGCATAACATCTCTGGTCTTTGATTTGCGAAATGGGATTCCTAATAGTTCCACCCTAAGGCTTCAGTTAGATCGTACTGGGCCTTGTTGCCCTCAGTCCCACAAAGTTTCCTTCCAAGAGATGATGTTTGTTGGGTTCAGAATTACTCCACTTGATTTTGCAGCCTTGAAAGAGATTGGTTTGCAGGACATTCTCCTGATGTCCTGGTGCAGTGACGGGGTCACGCTCTCTGCCATGAGAACTGTTTTGGTTGTACCCACGTTCAGTACAAACCAGTCTTTTTTTCCTCGAGGGTGAGAGATGCTCTGTTCATGCCCAAAGCACGGGGAATGCTCTCTGCTATAGCCTCAGTTTACTTGGAAGCCCCGTTCACTTGTTGACCTCCTCTGCAGACATTCCCATTTGCAAGTAATGACGTGCACTCAGAAAATGAGTTTTCATTTGGAAAAACAGATTGTCAAGGTGCACGCATGTGACTGATACACGTGGACAGCACTACAGCTCTATGGAGGCATGAGCTGCTGCTCTGCCTCCTAAATTGCCACGTTCAAGCTTTTTAGCCCAATTCTAGCAAGCAGTGGCTGCTCCAGGCCCCTGGTACACTCAGTGCAGAGGTGGACTGGGCACCAAGCTGTGTTTTTCTGGGTTTGTCATTGCAGGAGGGGAAGCTGGTGGAGAAGGATGCATCCATGTGGCAGCTGCAGGGAGAACCCACAGTGCTGATTACATTGGCCCACATCTTCAATTATTTCTCCCCTCTTATGGTGAGTTTTGCCTGCTCATTGCAAGCTTCTGTAGGTATCTGGTTTCATGCAAAGGGATGTAAATCAAGCTTCAGTCTTTGCTGGGAAGTGATTCTGCCTTGAAAGGCTGTTGACTTGCCTGTCTTCCTGCAGTGCAAGGTGTACCTGGTGGAAGATGTGCTCATGACCTTCCTGTTGAGCATCCTGGAGCGAGGAGGGGCAGTGGAGGCCCATCCCCTTATTCAGCAGCTGCTGGATCTCATGTGGCTTCTCATGGAGGTGAGTTGTTAGAGTGCTGTGAGGTGCTTAGAATAGGAGCACGCACTGGAACATGCTGGTAGTGATCAACTTCTCTGCCTTCCTGGTGACGAGATCCCGTTTTGCGGTAGACACTCTTCTTCCTGAGATTATCTTGCTGACCAAGTGAAGCCAAATCGGCTTGCTGGTGGGGGTGCCAAGATTGCAGAAGAGACAGCATTTGTCCCACTAGTTGGCTGTCAGTTGGACTCAACAAGGCAGTTCCTCCACCATCACATTTAACAAGAGTAGCTTGTCTTTCCCTTCTGGATTGATTCTGCCAGGGCTGAGGTTTGGAGGCTGTGGGGAGAGGTGACTCAGCTCAGCCAAATAGGACCTGGGACTTTGGCTTGTCCACTGGGTTGGTTTTACTTGCACAGAAGCTTATCCTCCTGTAGTAAAGTGATAGCAGCAACCACTGCTCACGCTCCCTTGTTGAGTAAGGTGAGCAAATGCTGTGGGTTCAGAGTGCCTGTGTTTTCAATACAGAAATAAATGCTGCATCCTTCCAAAGCTGCACTGTGGGAACAATAGCTGTTCCTGACATCATCCCGTTGCTGTTTCTTGTTTTCTAGGAATATGAAGTGCACGAGTGCCTCAAGCAGCTACTGATGTCACTGCTGCGGGCCTACAGGTTCTCTCCTATCATCCCAGACCTAGGATTACAAGTGAGTTGCACTTCTGAGTCTCCAGGAATCTGCGACTAGCCAGCTTCCGTTATGTTCCCTTGTCCAAAGGTCCCTAATGTTTTCGATTATCTGCAGTTATTTGGTCTAGCAGTGGCAGTTCTGTCCCACTGTACCTCTGTAGATGAGTCAGTTTTGCTTCTCGTTTCCTAGATTCACTACCTCCGGCTCACCATTGCAGTCTTGAAGCATGAGAAATCCAGGAAATATCTCCTCAGCAATGTTCTGTATCCTTTGTGCCTCCTCAGTTCTCTGTTCTCCCTGCCCTCAATAATGCAGCCAAGGAGACTGCAAGGATTAGCAGAGCCCAGGAGGCAGAAGCCACCCCACCTTTGAGAGGTTGTTTCTCACTTCTCAAGTCTCCTCAGTTTGCCTGACACCATTCTCTGCAAAGTCCTGCTTTGAGGAGCAGGAAGCAGTGCCATGAGGGTCACATCTTTATTTGTACCTGACCCGCTCCTCTGATGTCCTTAGGCTTTAGGGCAGACCACTGCTCTAACTCCTTCCAGAGCTGACTAACTGCCGTGCCAGCATTTGGGCTGCTCCTGTGCTGAGTGCAAGAGGCTTCTCCCAGGAGAAGGAAGCTCTGGATTTGGCAGAGCTTTGAGTGGTTTTGGAGAGGGGCCTCTTACTACAGCTCTGAAAACAAACCCCATCCCTTCTCTGCCACAGCTTCTTGTGCTTCCTTTAACTTTGCTGCAGCTTTGACGTGCTCCGTTCAGTTGTGTTCTTCTACATTAAGAGCCCGCTGCGTGTGGAGGAGGCTGGTTTGCAGGAGCTCATTCCCACCACGTGGTGGCCAAACCGCTTCACCAAGGAGGTGAGTCGGGGCACATCTGCTAAGGAGACCAAAGGATCTCGGTAGTCCGTGGGCCCTTTAACAAGGGGAAACCCAGCAGAGCTGCGTGGAAGCTGTGCCCCTCTGCTGCCCTGTCGTCTCCTGTTAGGGTGTGTGTCTCAGGGCTGGGGAGGTGACAGTTTTCCATGGCATCAGATTTGGAAGGGGAACCTCACAGAGCCAAAGAAGTTGCAGATAGGCTTGAGTGTTCTTAGAAGACCTCCTGCCCTGATTTGTTACAAGGCCAAGGAGGGCCGGTTAGGTGTGCTTGTGTCCACACACTCATGCCTTGTTTCAGTGAGTTTCTTCTGCTTTGGCAGGATGCTGCCCCGTGCTATGTACTCCTCCTAATCTCTGTCTGTTCCTCAACCAGGGCAAGGAGAGTAAGGAGGTGAAGGAGGAGAGTGCTGAGGAAAGACTGAGGCGGCGGGCGTATGAAAGAGGCTGCCAGCGGCTCAAGAAGCGCATTGAAGGTCTGTGAGGAAGGAGAGAGATTGCCAAGATCCCATTCTTTGTGTGCAGCCAGAGAGATCAACCCATGAGCTGTTTCCGAATCGCCTTCCAGACCTGACATGCAGCTGTATTCCCATCACAAAGGCTGCACTGCAGAGGCAGAGGCCAGCCATGGCCACTGTCACCTGGTGGATGGGTTCAAGTGTTGGGTCCCCACTGCCCACATATGCAGCACTCTGCCAGGCATTGTGAGCAAAGCAAAACCCACCTTTAGGGGCATTGTTTATCAGCTGGGGATGGATTTATTGCTGGGTGGAGAAGGAGAAAATTATCCCAGTGATGGGGCTAGCATTCTGCTGGACCTGGTTCTTTGTGCTGGGGTGGTGGTCTTTCTCCTGATGACAGGGCACTGGTGGAGTTAGCACGGGCAGTTGCTTTCCAGTTGTTACTATCCAGTAGCAAACTGCTATGTCCCTGTTTTAGTGGTGGAAGGTCTCCAGGTTCAAATTCTGAAGCTGCTGCTGAACAACAAGGACAGAGGAGGGGTAAGCACTCTGGATTTTTTGCTACATTATCTCTGCATCCCAGGACTTGTAGGGTACAGAAGTGCAGCTGTGGAGACGTTCTGTCCTCAGAAGCAGTTCACTAATTGATCCAGTAAGGCAGGCTGAACTGCAGAAACAGTTTTTGGGCTCTGTTTAAAGGGGTATCATGGAATCACAGAATCATAGATAGTCTCAGATGCTTTGCCAGTGTTGAGTGATGACATGAGCCGCACCTGGGCCAGACTTTTGTTTCTGTTGAACTAGGCAGACACAGTCTGACTGCAGTGCATTCTACCCTTACAATTAATACTAATTCCAGAGAGAAAAGAAATGGCAGGCGTGTGAGTGTGTGCCTCTACAGAGCAGGTGGAGGATGTTCAGCTGCATAAAGCTGTGCATCTTCTGGCCGTCATCAGAGCATCCCAGTATGGGCCTCAGAAGACACAACACTGCAAAACAGTGGCCCACAGCCTGCTCATGGGTGCTCCAGCAATGGTGGTAGCTGGGTCAACTGCTTTCTCTTGCTGAACATACTTCCCAAGCATATACAACTCTGCTAATGCCTTTCTTTGGGAGTTCCTTTCCCTGTGAGTTCACCACCTGCTTTTCCTCCTGCCAGGGGGAAGCATCCAGATACATCTTCCTGAACAAATTCCGCAAGTTTCTTCAGGAAAATGCTAGCAATAGAGGGGTAAGTCAGAGGGACAGCCTTCCCACAGGCCTCACCTGAAGAGCTCTCTGGTACCTTTGGGGTGGGAGCTCTTGCCCTTTTGGCTGAGCTGCTTCCAGCAGATGAGCAATTGATACCTAGATAGAGCATCCTCTTCACCACCTGGGTGAGGACCGCTCTTCTGGCCTTGGCTCAGGCTGATGGCCTGCAGCTAAGGAAGGTGGGGATATTATCATTATTGCAGGAAGCCCTTTCCTCACCAGCCTCTCTGCGTTAACGAGCAGCCCACCTTCAGAGGCAGAGCACGTGGTATCCATCCTCCCCTGTCACACCAGCTTGTTACTGCAGGGCCAGGGGTTTTACAGAGGTGGAAGCAGCTAGGTGCCATCAGCGCTGGGCTCCATCCCGGCGCTGGAAACCAGAGGTGCTTTTTGCAAACGGGTGCATGTGCTTTCAGCAGGACTGAGAACAGGAAGCTTCTGCCTGGCCCACGTGGCCACCAGATCTAAGAAGCACCTTCACTGCTGCCCTAATGGCTGAACTCTCATTGTTGCCCTAGAACTTGACTGTGTTGTGCCCACCAGAGTACATGGTGTGCTTCCTGCACCGGCTCATTGCTGCCCTGCGTTTCTTCTGGGATGGCCACAAGGCAAAGGCACCTGCTGCGCTGAGCAGCGAAGGTAAGGCCTGGAGGAGAAGCTAGCAGGACACTTCTGTGTTTGGGACAGGGTTTGTTTCCTGGCACTGCTCTCCAGGATGCTGAAAGCTTTGTGTTTCTCATGGGTGCTGATGCCTTCTCTGCCCTGAGCCTGTAGATCCTGGGAAATTCCTATGTGCAGATCTAATCCCATTAACACCCAGACCTATTCTGGACAATTTGAGACTTGCAAAAGAATATCTATATTGTGATCTGATAGTTAAAGTACAGGGAAATGTATTTGCCAGTTTTCACATGGATTTGGGATTAAGGAGAAACCAAATCAATGGCCATTGCTTTCCCACTCTTACTCCCAGCTTTATCTATCTCTTTGTTTACTTTTGGCTTACTCTTTCTTCAGATTCATTGAGTGCCTTACAGTACCCTGTGGGATGTAATGGACTCCAGCTCAGGTTATAGTAGATAGGTGAGAGCTGAAGAGCTTACAAAGGATCTGGTTTTCCCCAGTGACTGAGACTGGACAGGATGAAGGGCTGGAAGCCTTGTTGCCTCCTGCTTTGATGTGCATCCAGTGCTTGCTTTGTTATGGAAGTTACCTCTGCCTCTATGGCTTGTGTTCTTGGAACAACAGAAGCAGTCGCTTGGTGCAGCACCAGCCTGGGCCCTGGGCTCTGTCTTAGGACTTACCTGTTGGTGTTAATGTATGTGTGGGGGTCCTGTGTATGGATCTGATGGGACAAACAAGTTTCCTTATCTACTTCAGAGGCATATGTCCCTCCCCAACTTTTCTATAATGGGAAGGTGGATTATTTTGACCTTCAGCGACTCGGAGGTCTTCTGTCTCACCTCAAGAAGACTCTGAAAGGTAAGTGCTCTGACTTCCAGAAGTTTTACCACAGGTCCTGGCTGAAGTTCACCATGGAGATATCCCAAGGAGGGAGCTGTGGGTAATGACATGTGATTAAATGTAAGGAGAGGAGACTTGAATATTGATGTGATGCAAGTTACTCTAGAGAGGGCAGCATCCCTCTGGGGTGGAGTGTCCTTTAAGTTAACAGCTTTTTATATCTGTGATTTGGACACTGATTTGTCTTCTCCTAATTGCAGGCTCCATTCTGAGTGGTCAGTTGGAAACTTTCTTTCTGAACTCCTGTCCTGATTTTTCTTGATGTGCTTTTATTCTCTGCCCCAAACTCATTATGGTGGACGGTGGGGACTGTGGAGAGGTGCTGAGCAGAGTCTCATTCCCTCTCTGTGTCAGGGTAACCCCAGGTACCCTGGTATTAGCTTTGCCATTTGCCCTGGTGAATCTCCCACTCCAGCCCCCACTTGCTGCAGCTGCACAACATGCCAGATCTGCAGATGTAAGATGGGAGTCCAACTCAAGCAGTCCCACAAGGATTCTGCTTCTGCCTATGGCAGGAAGGGAGCCTGGGAATACCTGCTGGGGAAGTGCTCTTGCTGCATCACAGCCAAGGGCTGGAAACTGTCAAAGCCTGCACAGTTTTACACAGCTGGGTATAAGAGATACTCAGGTTTGAGCTGTCTTGCTGTACCACTCCAGGCAAGCAGTAGCAACAGCCCCAGGTTCTTTCTGGACCGCTTTAAACCCAGGACTATGGACAAGAAAGCATGTTCAGGCTTTGTACCTGCATAGCCATCTGACAGCCTTCCTCTGGGCTGTGAAGGGACCTGCAGTCTTAGTGATCTGGGGACATAATCATGGGGCAGCAAATTGGAGGATTGGAGGCTCAGCAGGTGGTCTCAGGCCCTGAAATAACTTCCCTGTCTCTGGCCCTGTTCATTGCCTCCTGGTTCTTTGGTTGTTCTGTTTGTTGCTGGTAGGGATAGGAACAGAAAGGAGCAATATCTGTCATTGTTTGGTATCCACTCTGTAGGGAGAGGTGAGCTGGGGAGAAGTGAGTCTGTTCTGGTGCAACATCCAACCTCGCTGGCTGTTCTCTACTGCTGAGAAGCAGGAAAGAGAGTGAACCTAGGGCTATGACAGGTAACTTGTGCATTCACAGCTGCTCCGGTGTGCTCTTTGCAGATGACCTGGCTGCAAAAGCCAATGTCCTAATTGACCCTGCGGAGCTGCAGGCAGTGACTATGGATGATCTGGATGAAGATGAGGAATCAGCAACATCAGCAGCACAGGTGAGCCACTGGTTCTGGGCAGCAAGCTTAACCTCTAGCTTGTTTAGGGGGAAAGCAGAGTCTGGTCCAGGACTGTAACCAGCCTGTGGGCAGCCAGGTTAACAACTTGTGGCAGATCACCAAGGACCTAGGTGCACCAAGTCTGCGCAGCCAAATTTTCTCTGCACTGTAACTATCCCTTGATCTGAATGTGGCCCTCTCCTCTGTGAAAACTCTTGATGCTTACTTTTAAAGGAGGGCATGGCAGCTGTAGGCACAGCAGCTTCTTGCTGTGCAGATCTGCTGCTCGTGCCTGACAGGTGCCCCAGATGAAGGAACACACATCAGCTAACTGAGCATCATCTCCCTTTCCAGTAGCCCTTGTGCATCTGTACCAAAATCCCTGCAGGGAAAAAAAGGAGCCATAGCGAGCAGCATAACAGCTAGAACTTCTTCTCCCTTAATTTCTTCTCAGTCTCAGCGTCCCTCTGCCACCCTAGCCATTGGTGGAGCTCTTGCCAGACCTGGCTGGCTCAGCTCTCCCACCCTGGGCCGTGCCAACCGTTTCCTCAGCACAGCGGCCGTCAGCCTGATGAACCCACGGCGACCTCTTGGTACCCTGGAGAAGGTCAAAGTACGCACTCTAAGTGTGGAACAGCGTACAGAGGAGGACAGTGAGTACTTCTGCATGCTAGCATGGCCCAGCTGGTCCCTGGGAGAACAGCCTCTTCAGCTCCCCCTGCTCTTGAGAGGAAAGCAATCTGTTTACTTCCAGCATTGCTCCTTCCCTTTCCCAGGGCATGCTGAGACCCACAAAGTCCACAGTTAACCTCTTTGCTATCCTGACCATAACACTCTTGATGTTCTTGCACTCTGTATGCAAGGAGGTGCTGCCTCGGCTCCTGTAAGAATAGCATGACTTGGCAGGAAGGTAGTCTGGAGGCAGCGCTGTAGTTGTTGCTCCCTTGGTGGGGCCAGGCAAAGTCTCTGAAAGGTGCTTCAGTCTGTTAGAGCAGATCTGGCAGGTCAACTTGATGCACACAGCGAGGTGGGACGGCGTGTTTGTGTGTCAAGGGAAGGAGAGGTGTGTTGCAGATATACTGCAGGGTTCTGGTCGTTGGCTTGAGAGAGGCGCAGGCAGGAGCTGTGGTGCCAAAATGCCTTGTTGAGAACTTCTCTCCTGTCTTGGGGATGGATTGCAGTTGAAGGCAGCAATGGAAATGAGGGTCTCTTACTGGGGAGACCTCCAGAGGAGCCAGACCAGCCCATCACAGAGAACTCCCTCCTGGAAGTCCTGGATGGGATAGTGATGATGTACAACCTCAGTGTCCACCAGCAGCTTGGGAAGGTAAGCAGCACGTGCTTTGCAGGCATCCATTCTCCCAGTCTCTGTCACTACTGTACTGACTCTGTTTTCTGCTTGCTTAGAGACTGTGTGTTCTTTCCTTCTCCCAGCTCCCACGGGGGATCAGATTGCATGCTTTTGTGTGTGGGGAAATAAATGCCCTCATGTTTTGTTGGAATCTGCTTGCTTTTCAGATGGTTGGTGTGTCAGATGATGTGAATGAGTATGCTATGGCACTGAAGGACACAGAGGAAAAAATCAGCCGCTGCCCAAAGAGAGTAAGTGTTTCTGGACATCCAGCTTCTTTCTCTGGAAGCTCCTCAGTACCTGGCAAAAAGTTTGAAGCACGGTGCATGATTTCCAGCAGCGAAGCTGGAAATGTTTTGTTGGAGTTGTAACTCATGCCTGGAGCTGGCAGCCACATTTCATGCTGTGCCAACCAATTGTACCACTGCTTCAAGAAACAGAGGCACTGAAGCAACTGCTTCAACTTCTCACAGGCACTGTGAGAGTTTGCAAACCTTCAAGTGCTGCAAGGCAGCTCAGATCCGTTCTCCTGAAGTTGGGACTAAGGGTACCCCACAGCTGTGACTTAGGATTTGAAAAGGTTTCCTGTCCAGAGGAGACCTTCCAATCCACTTCAGCTTCTAATCCAATTCACAGCTACTGCAGCTTCTGTCTGAGCTGCTGGGACTTTTCCTTAGATCTGGCATTCACAAGCACAGTTCAGAAAAAAACAAGTAGTAAATACCCTGCAGTGGTGAGCTTGGGACACTTATGTCCTCTCCAGCTGCTGGAGACAGAATGTATCCGGTGATGCATTAAAGAAGTACCCCTGACAGCAGTTGATCCTAGAGCTGTCAGGACCAGTGTCTGCATCAGGCCTTGTGGGCTGCAACTGAGGCCAGTAAGTGCTTTTTATAGCACCGATTCCCACTCCCTCCTCAGAAGGGGAGCTGACCTCTTTCTCTTCTGCCTAGCTAGCCCCAAGGCGGTATTTGCTTTTGTGTTGTTTGTCCAGCTTTGAAAAAGGATAATATAAGTGGAAGTGATATCTGCCCTCACATCTCCGCACTCTTTCAGAGGAGAGACATCCATGAGGAGCTGCTGAAGAGCCAGAAGGTCTTCTCTGAGAAACTCAACCACCTAAGCCGCCGCCTTGCCTGGATAAATGTCACCATCTATTCAAAGGTGGGCAGGAACGTAATGTGAGTGGCTCAGAAGGTATTGAGCAGGTGTGCCTCTGTATCTGTGCTGCTCAGCTCACACGTCACAAGCAATATTTTTGCTGGTATGCTGGAGCAATGCTGATGATCTCTAGGCCTTGTTTGTGCCTTTGTGCACTGGGACTCCTTCTCAGGCCAGGACTCCCTCCTGCCCCAGGATTGGTACATTAGAACACAGCCCAGTGTGTTCTGAGCTTTGTGTGGTGCTGTAGGCTTTTCCTTGGGGAGTCAAGTCTCTGTGGTGCAGATAGAAGCATGCAGGCCAAAGGGACATCCAGTTCTTAGGGCAGGCTGAGAAGACAGAGAAGCTATTGTGAAGCATTTCTCTGAGCTGTGCTGTCACAGGGAGTTCTCACTAAGGCTTCTCTTCTTGGAATGTCCAGCATCCAGCCCTTAGGAGTTTCCTTTTCAGATGTTCTCCCCTTCTTCACTTGGTTTCCAAGTGCTTTTTATATTTAGTGCCACACTGACTGTTAGCACAAGTTGTCCCTTCTTCCTTGCATTCACCATCTTCTGGTGTCACATCTCTGGTCCTGCTTTTCTCACAAGCAGTTCATGCTCTTACACCCTGCAGATCTCCTCTGGTGTTCCCTTGCACATTACCTCACCCCATCTATGTTTGTATGTTCTTTGTTCTGGGGAGTAGGACACTCTTCTCTCAACATGCAGTGCCAGCGTATATCCCAGGATGTAAACAGGGAGGGGAAGGGCAGTGGCTCCTATGAACATATCTGTGCTGTGGAGGCAGAACTCTTTGCTTGTCCCCTCCATCGCTGGCAGAACACAACTGCAGGGCACAGGCTGGCAGCTCTCCAGCCACATGAACATAGCCTTTGCTTGCCAGAAAATGCACCTTTCTTCCTGGATCCCTCTTGAAAGGCTGGGGGGCTTTCCCAGTGCATATCAGTTATCACTGTAGTAGCCCATGCAGAAACAGCGTTCTTGTCTCTAGATGACCTGTTGTCATATTAAGGATGGGTACCTGCTGTTTGCCCATGGAATTGTATCCCCAGTGGGCTCCAGCATCCACGTGGCCTGCATGCTAGGGAGGGACACATCTGTACGAGTGTTGCTGATGGAGAGAAGGAGTGAATCTGCTGTCTGCCTGGTGGGGAAGTCCTGCTCTGTGCTGAGGTGTCAGAATGCAGGAGAGGCTGCTGTGTCCTCTGGGGAATTCACCGTGTGTTTATTGTGAGCTGTGGGATTTGATGTTAGATGAAAGGAAGGGCAAAACATCCGTAGTTTTGAGGTAGATAATGCCATCTTCAGAACACCCCGGGGGGAGACCATTTCGGCTTATCTTGTTAAGGCACTATTTGTCTGTCACACATCTCTCCATCCTCTTGCTGTAAGCTTTCTTCCATCTTAGCAATACCTGAGATAATGTTTTTAGATTATCAGGTCTTAATAAAATCAAACACAGCTCTCTTTACCTTAATGTTGTCTGCACGATTGCTGATCATAACTGTTGAAAACAGCACTTGAGGCGTTGAGGCAAAGATGTCTTTTATTCAATCCAGTTGATTTTCTCCCCTTTGGTGTAATTTACAGAACAAACTCACATAGCTCTCCCAAAGATGATAGTGGCATACTTTAGGAGAGGAACTAGGCAGATGGAATCACTTATCTGTACCTCTGAGGTGTTGTTGTTTTTTCATTTGAAGTGTAACTCTCTTCCATCTGTTTTTATGTAAACTGCTGGTGTTCATCGCATTTCTTGGCATCACAGGATACAAAACAACATTTCCTCTTCTTACGTCTTAGTTGGTACTGATTTTAGGAGCTTAAAGTTATATAGATGCCCTTAAATTTCCTGGTTTTGATTTAGAACCTCCAGAGCTTTGCTAGAGAAGCAGGAAGCCAGCGCTGCTCCAGATGGGGAGTGTGGCTGAGTGGCTGGCACAGAAGTCAAAAGGCTGTGGCCACCCATTGCAGGGGTCTGAGTTGGTGTGAGCTCTCTGCCCGTTTCTGTGTGTTAATTCCTACAGTGGCTGAGGTTTCTTTCTGCCAGATTTATGCCAGGATTGCCAGTGCCTGCCTTCCTTCAGACGCTGCGCTCAGGATAGAAACTAACACATGTTTTTTTGCAATCAGGCAATGTGGTCTCATATTCCCTAGAAAAGAATAGATCCTGAAGGGATTCAAGACTCAGTGAGACAAAGCCACTGCTGATCTGCTCTCATGCTGGTGACAGTTGTGCTCTGAACTGACTGGGGAGTGCTGTGTTTTCCCTGGCAGGAGAAGATGCAGGATATCTACTGGCTGCTGAGAGTGTGCATCCGCACCATCGAGCATGGTGACAGGACAGGCTCGCTTTTTGCTTTCATGCCAGAGTTCTACCTCAGCGTGGCTATGAACAGCTACAGCGCACTCAAGAACTACTTCAGTCCTGTCAATAGCATGGAGGAACTTCCAGGTAAGGGGAAGGGGAGGCCTTGCTAGTTTTGGCCTGGTAAGACCTAAGTAAAGCCCCATCCTTGTGATGTACTGGCAGCTGTGCATCCCTTCTGTATCCTTCCCTAGCCGTGCTATCCTTCACTTTGTACTGCCTGTGCGATGTGGGGCAAGTGCTGAATGCTGTTCCTTGGGTAGGTGCCCATTGATGACCTGTGCCCTTTACTGAACTTAGGTGGGGTGCCTGTGCCTTGCCCACAGCTGTCACAGCATTAGCTGTACTGAAAATCATTGGGAATGGGTTGGGATGCAGGAAGATGTCATTGTCCTGACCATGTTTGCCACTGGCTGGCTGAGTGGGGGGATTCATGCCATGACTGCAGGAACAGGGGCTGTTTTCAGTTCCTGGTGGGATTTGGATGTGGAGATGGACACCCACTTCATGCCAGGCGTCTGTGTTCAGCTGGATTCAGTCTGTTCATGCTTTTCCTACCTACATCACTCTAGCAGTCCTTAGGCTTTCCAGAGCCTGCAAAGGCAAGAGCTGCTGTTCCATTCAACAAGGCGTAGCTAAAAAATGCCCATTAATTGGAAGCTGTGCAGGGAGCAGTAGAACTAAGCAGCAATAGATCTACTGCTTCAGGGCCTGCAGACTGGACACAGCTTCTCTGCATAGATCTAGGGTGCTATTTGTGTTGCTCAGCCCCTTCTGCATTAGACTTCTCTCCCTTGTCATCTGTCACAGCTGCTTGTTTTTTTGGTTCTGCCTTTCTCTGAGTAACTGCTTCAGGCTACATGATAAGGCTGGAAACTGTGTTGCAGATACACGTTTTCCCAGCTGTTTGTTTTGACAGTTGGACAGGCAAGAAAGCTGCAAAGTTAGCTGCTGCAGGAACTCATCCCATTGCCCGTCCTGTTGCAGGACCACAGGTCTGCCCACTGGGTCGTTATGTGACTCCTGCTCCCTCCTTCTCTTCACAGGCTATGAGGAAACCCTGATGCGCCTCGCTGCCATCCTGGCCAAACACTTTGCTGACTCAAGGATTGTGGGCACAGGTAATGGTGCTCTCCTTTTCTTTGGGGTGATACATTGCAGGCCTGGCTGCAGGCCCCACTGCCAGTGGCTCAGCGATCTGGGATGTATCCATCTGTCTAGGATCTATCTGCTGAACTCACTGAGTGCTCTGTACCTCCTCAGGCAAAGAGAGGCTGAACACTGCAGTTACCCCACGTGTCCTGCTTAATTCAGGGTTAGGTAGATGACCTAGGATGCCCCTTTGAGAGCAAGGCTCCCAGCTACTTGCACATTAGTCTGGGGCTTCTCCTTAACTGCCTGGGCACAGGGATGCTCTCCCTACTGACTGGGGCAGCAAGCCTCTGTTTTTCCTGAGCTGTAGTAGGAGTAGGCACACAGATGCAGATACAGATGGGCCATATACAGGAATCCTTCAATTCACAGTGAACTTTTGCTAACGTGAGGAGCACACAGACTTGTACAAAAATGCTCATCTCTGCATGCGTGCTTCTACCTGTAGTTCTCTGAGTTTGGGGCTTGACTTGGGCTTCTGGAGAAACCCAACATCGTGCTGAGTGGACTATTTACTCTCAAACCAATACTCCCCGTTCAGCTTGACTCTTGTTTTGATTCAGTCAAGTCTGCAGGGAAACTACTGCATTTGGAGACAGAGATTTAAGTGTTTCTCCTTCATCAGCTCATTGTGTCTTCTGTGAAGGTCCTTGAGTGTGTGACCCTTTATGATGCCTGGGTAGATCCTAAAGGCAGAATGATTCAACATGCCTAGTTCCAGCTGCCTGGAAACCAGTTTGGTTCACACACTTGGCTCTAACTGCTCTGAGTTCTACTTAATTCAGTAGCTATTTCTGAAGGTGTGTTTATCCTGCATTCTCAGGAGGAAACAAGAGTCCTTTTCTCATCCCTGTCATCTGGATTTAGAAGTGACTCTGCTCCTCTTCCAGAAGCTGCTTTCCCCTCATCCTTTAGATGACACTGTCTTGCTAAGAGATTAAACTAAGGCTGTAGGCACACTTTTCTGTTGCAGAACAGGAGGCTGCTTGTCATACCACTCATCTGCTGACAGCTGTTGCATCCTCAGCAGAGCCCCAGAAATGCTTGTGTGCTCTTTTCATTCTGTGCAGGTTGGCTAGGTGAGCTTGCACTTGGGCCGGAGGGATCCCAGGCATCCATACAGGCTGGATGGAGTGGTCCTTGAAAGCAGCCCTGTGGAGAAGGACCTGGGGGTCCTGATAGATGAAAAACTTAATATGAACCAACACTGTGCTCTTGAGGCTTGGAGGGCAAATGGTATCCTGGGGTCCATCAAAAGAGGGGTGGCCAGCAGGGACAGGGAGGTGATTTTCCCCCTCTACTCTGCTCTTGTGAGGCCCCATCTGGAGTACTGTGTCCAAGTGTGGAGCCCACAGTACAAGAAAGACAGGGAGCTGTTGGAGAGGGTCCAGAGGAGGGCCACTAGGATGATCAGGGGACTGGAGCAGCTCCCCTATGAGGACAGGCTGATGGAGCTGGGCTTGTTCAGCCTGGAGAAAAGGAGGCTGCGGGGTGACCTCATGGCAGCCTTTCAGTACCTAAAGGGAGCCTACAGAGGGGAGCGGAATCAACTCTTTGACAGGGTTGATATGTGTAGGTCGAGGGGAAATGGTTTTAAGTTGAGGGAGGGGAGATTTAGGTCGGACATCAGGGGGAAATTCTTTACCCAGAGAGTGGTGAGGTACTGGAACAGCTGCCCAGAGAGGCTGTGGATGCCCCGTCCTTGGAGGTGTTCAAGGCCAGGTTGGATGGGGCCCTGGGCAGCCTGGTTTAGCATTTAACGTGGAGGTTGGTGGCCCTGCCTGTGGCTGGGGGGTTGGAGATTCATGATCCTTGAGGTCCCTTCCAACCCTGGCCATTCTGTGAAATTTCTGTGAAATTAAAAGGATTTGAAGTCGCTGGCTGGCTGCACAGAATTAGATCCAGAAATACTCTGCAAACTGTAGCAGGGAGTCAGTTGTTTAGGAATACCTTCACCCGCTCCAACTAAAGACAGAAGAGACAGTGGGCTCAAGAGGGAGACTCAGGACACAGCACTTGCACAGTGCCTTTCTGTGCCTCCGATGTGGAGCAGTAGCCCTCAGCAGAAGAGCACACACAGCCGGTTGTGGCTTCATGGATACTTCTTCAGTTTTTCCTGAAGAGAGCACTGTTGGAACTTCAGGCTTTGGCTGTAATCTGAATACCTTTTGACAACAGCATTTTTCAATCTGGTGCTGTCTGTAGCTGTGTGTTTTCCAGTATCTGCTGCTTTGAGCAAGTGTTATCCTTCAGACTCTCCCATCTCATGGCTGACCTTTGCTCTGCACAAAGGGTGCAGATGCTTTTCTAACTGCAAGCATGGGGCAGTCAGAAACTGCAGGGCTATTCAGATTGGAGAGAACCTCAGGAGGGCTCTCGACCGTCCTCTACAGGGTCAGCTGTGATGCTGGACTAGGGCTCAGGCTTTGTTTGTCTGGTCTTGAAAGCCTCAAAGGATGAAAACTGCACAACACAGAGCCTCTCTGAGCAACTTGTCTCACTGCTTTACTGTCCTCATGGAGAAAACATTTTTCCTTATATCCAGTGTGAACCTCTCTTGTTTTATGTCCGTTCTGTCTTGCCTCTCACTATATACCATTAGTGGTGTATAACCACAGTTGTGAACTGCATCTTAGTGATAACCTCTTACCTTCCTGATAAATCTCTTTGCAAGCTACTGTTAGCTTCCCTATAGCTTTCTAATTCATGGTGAACAAACCCAGCTCCCTTAGCACTTCCTTCCAGGGCACGTTGGCCATATTAGCAGTGCTCTGCTGAACTCTAGTCTGCTTATTTTATTTTGAGGATTTCAAAAGTGGGTGCACTGCCTCTGGTCTAATGAGAGCTAATTAAAGGGAGTTAATCACTTCCCTCGATCTCCTGGCTGCATTCTTTTAATGCAGCAGAGGATGCTATTGGCCTCCTTTTCTGCCAGGGCATACTGCTAGCCCAGGCTCAGGTTACTGTCTGCTTCCAGCTCTGGTTGCTCTCTGCAGTGCTATTCTGCACCCAGGCAGTCCCTGCCTGTACCACTGCAAGAGATTCTTCCTTCTCACACCTGGGAGTCAGCATTTGTTCTTTCTGAATTTCATAAGGTTCATGCTGTCCCATTTCTCCAGCCCATCCACATTCCTCTCGCAGTCCAGCCACTGAGCACATCAACTGGTGCCACTGATTTGGCATCATCTGCAAAGCAGGTTCTTCCTCAGAACGTGTCCAGAGAGGGTCTGTTGTTAGTGAGGGCTGGTCCCTCCCAGCCTCTGGTGTTCAGGTGCCCCGTGGCACACCGTGTGTCCTTGGATGTCTGTCCTAGCTCCTTCTCTTTGCTCCACAGACATCCGGGACTCCCTGATGCAGGCGCTGGCCAGCTATGTCTGCTACCCCCACTCGCTGCGTGCTGTAGAGAGGATCCCAGAAGAGCAGTAAGTGCTGCCCTGCCTATTCCTGGGGCAGGGCTGGGCTGGGCGGCAAGGCTTGGAGTGAGCAGGCAGGCTGCCGAGCACTGCGGGGATAGAGGAGCTGCAGCAGGGTGCTGGAGTTGATCTGGGGGAGCCTCCTTTCTCTAATGCACCGGTGTGTTGCTCTGCCCCGGCTCCATGAGTTCTCCCATTTGTTCCCCTGTCCCCAGACCCTTTGCAGCTGACCTGTCTTCTGTCATGCAGGCGGATCTCCATGATGAAGAACCTCCTGGCTCCCTACGAGCAGCGGCCCTGGGCGCAGACCAACTGGATCCTCGTCAGGCTGTGGAGGGTGAGCATCCCTGCCCTCTCACTGCCTGGGGCTTGGGTGGACACTGAGCATTTTGCTTTCCAGTAGCAGCAAAACCTAGCCATTCTCCATGCTCTAAGATCTTTCCTCATCTCTTTTGGCAGGGCTGTGGCTTTGGATACAGATACACGCGGCTCCCACACTTGCTGAAAACCAAGCCTGAGGATGCCAGCCTCCCCAGCCTGCAGAGTGAGTGGGGCAGGGGAGTGGCATTCAGGTTGACAAAGGGTGCAAAAGGAGAGCTGTCCTAACAGCAGGTGCACTGTAAGAGGGAGCGGGTGTCCAAGGAGGCAGGGCACTGGACAAAGTCAGAAGTAAGGAATGTTTTAAACAGGCTTCTCTCTTGGAGCCTGGCAGAGCCTGTCTTGCCTTTGGCTTGGCATTTCAATTATCAGTTCTATTGCCATACTGAGGAGACCCTCAGATCTGCTACATCTGGAAAAGACATGGGAAGGAGGTAACTTTTGTGAGCATCTTCTGCTTCACCTGTGCAGACTCTTGGCCAGTCTGGATATGATCCTGATTCCTCTCTTCTGTGGAAAAGGCTTTGTGCCAGACTCTGCAGGAGAGCTGCTCAGGGATGGGGGACAGAGGGTACTGCAGCCTGATGTAGGCTGGGGGTGTGTGGAGGTGCACTGAATGCCCCTTCAGGTGTGGAGAACTCCTGTCTCTATTTTAATGGCATTCTTGTTCTTTTTCTTTCTCCTGCCTGTGTGTGCCCAGGAGATCTCTCTGTTGCTAGTTTCCAGAGTAAGTTTGTTGTGTGGCCCTCTCCTGTCTGGTGCAGTAGCTTTAGAGAGTTCCCTCCTTCCCCAGTTCTGTGTAGAGAGAGCCTTCTTTTGTGGGACAGAGGGTTCATGCACTGATCCTTTTTTTCAGTCACATCCCTGGGAGATGCCAGGGAGTCTGGTACCCACATGGCAGATTCTGAGGCTGCATTACAGACCTGCTCTCACTCCCGTTTGTATCAGCGTTGCCTCTTGGGTCAGAGGTTTGCTGCAGGCTGTGCCAGCTTGGGTTCCTCTCATGCTTGGAGGATGATGGGGAAGCCCTGCTGCACATGGCAGGGACCTGATGGTTATCCCTCATCCTGCAAAAGCAAGCCCTCGGGTGGCTGCTGTCGGTCCCAGGGGGAGGTCACCAAAATCCCTCAGTCCTGCACGGCTTTGGGACAGGATCAAAGTTTCTCAGTTTTTGAGATCTCTCTGCATCCATCCTTGGATGGCTCCGCACAGTCTGAGCGCAGGCTGGGCTGGGCAGGCTGCTGGGGACTTGCTCTTGGGACTGCTATTTTAAGGTGCAGCTGAATCAATAAGGAGTGCTGGTTTCGTTGAAAAGGGACATGGGACTTAAGGGTGTCCTTGAGATACAGCCCAGGAAAGGAGAAGACGTGCCCTTGCCTTCCCACCTATCCGTCCTCACCTTGCTGCAATTTGAGCGTTGGCAGGGACAGCAGGGCAAACTGCTGAGCTGAAAGAAATCCCTGTTTGTCTGGGCCGGCTTCTGCAGCCAGCCTAAAGCCAAAATAATTGGCTTGTGTTAATTTAACTGTGTGGGCCTTCGCAGTGGTAGTTCCTCGCTCTCAGAAATAAACCCTTAACTGAGAACACACCCAGGTGGGAACATTCCCTTGGTGGGAACATACCTAACCTCATCTCCTGTCTTCTGCTGCTGCTGCCTTGCTCTGCTGGGTGTACATTGCAACCTTCCCTTCCTCAAAAGTGTTTATGCAATCTCCATTCTTCATCCTTCTGAATGATGTGGAAAATAGGGCGGCCTCTGAGTGTTGTTCAGGAAGGCTTTTTGTCCCTGTGTGGCCCCTGCTCACAGATCCAGCACTAGCAGCCTGTTTTCATGGAGCTCCCTGATGCATTACCAGGGATGGGGTTTCCTGCACCCCCAGCTTTACATCTGTCACTGCTGCTCCATCTGCCAGATGGGCACATTTACATCTGGCTCCTTTTGAGAAGTCAGGTCAGTGCTGGGTGGAGCTGCTCTGCTCTTCCATCCAGCCCATTGCTCCCAGCTCTGCTGATGCCTGGAGCCTCACACATACATCACCCAGGGCACTGACCAAGAGGTCTCACGAAGAGCCCTGTTATAGATCTTGCCAGGTCGTTAGCAAACCATAAAGTACATAATTATCTTCCTGTAATGAAAGTACGTGACCCTGCTTCTTCACAGTCAACCAGTAGGATTGAATGCTTCCACTTTATCTGCTTTATTAATTTTTAAGTCTATCTGCTAATGGCTTCTTGCTGTTTGACTTTCTCTTATTGCTACTTTTCTAAATAATTCTGTTACTTCCTGTAGTTAAAGAAACCGTGTGTGTAGCCAGCTTAGTCCTGAATGTTTCCTTTTTATCTTTTCCTTCTATTACCTCCTTTCTCCTTGTTTTCTTCCACTGCTGGCTATGTTTGTCCCCGTTTTGCCCTTCTCATCTTAGCTTTTGTCTGTACTTCACCATGGCCTCAGAGAACTTTCTAGCTGAGAGGTTTGCTGCAGTTCTGGGGTTTTCTGGCTGCCTGATAACCTTACAGATTATTTCTCTTTGAACTTTGTTTTTCCTCCTCTGACTGCTTTGCTCACCTTTCTATGGGGAAGTTCCTGTTGTGGAAACATCAGTTGTATTTATGACAGCTTGGGGCCACACTCTGTTGCCCACATTAAATGTATTGAGATCATAATTTCTGGCCTTGGAAAACCACCAATTTCAGTTCCAATGACTGATGTTCATCTGCCATAATGAAGGCTAAGCCAAGATCGAGTGGCTTTCGTATGAAGGAGTTGCAAGTTTTAGAAATCCTGATGATTTTCTGTTGCCAAGATTGAGAAGGTAACCATGTCAGCAGGTCACCTTAGACTCCTGGCACTCCTACTCCTCTCCTACAGCCAACGTAAGAGCTGTGCTCATACCCAGGAGGGCAATGCTGAGTGGGGTGTAGGGAGGAAACCCTTCAATGCAGGTGAGCATCTTGTTAAATGGAGGAGAATGCAGGGGTCTGACTGCAAGGTTAGGATTCTGGATACAGTGATGTTTGCCCCTTGGTGATCCCAGTCTGGGAGCTCATGCGGGAGAGCAGCCACTCTTGTTGTGGCTGAGGGCAAGTTCCTTCCATGGCTTTCAGCATGGTCACGGTGTAATTAAGACTCATGCTCCTCCTGGGATCAATAAAGGCCAAGCTGGTGCACCTGGAGTTAGCTAAAGACTTAGAAAAACTCTAAAACTCTGACAAGCAGCACCACTTCTTAGTGCTCTTATGAACTGGCACAGCCTTTGCCAGAAGCAAGGAAAGCATTTAAGAACCTGGAACTGGAGGCTTGGAGCAAATTCACACCACTTATTGGAAAAACACCATGAGGAAATAGCCATTGGCCAGAAGTCAGGGAAAAGCAAGTTACTACAAGCAGAAAATCATCCTTCAAACTGCCTTCGGCTGAGGTAGGCTTTGGCTGGGCAGCTCATTTTGGGAACTGTCTTGGCTTGAAGTGTTGGTGGAGGAGGCAGAGCTGCACAGCGCAGCTGCGGTTTGCGGTGGTGGTGCTGGTACCTGTAGTCTTTATTTTCTGTGATGAGGCTTTTTCTCCCAGTCCTCACTCACAGACAAACCCCCTCGCTTAGTGTTGTCTGCTCAGGGTGCTCTGTGTGCTGTGGTCTGTCACCAACAGAAGAAAACGGAGTGAGCTGTGGTGCTGCCTGCTGGACTTCTCTGCTTGCACCTTGCAGCCAGCGAGTTCCTGAGGATCACAAACCACAGTTCTGACAAAGGGTTGTCCTTCAGCTGAAATCCTAGCTTAATCTTGTCAGAAAAAAAAAAAAGAAAACAAGAACAGCAACAAAGAAAAAGCAGCTTGATGCGTGGCCAAAGGAATGAATTACACAACAGCAATCGCAAGGGGAGGAAAAGAGAACAAAACAACACATTATGCTTTTGTGCAAATCTGCCTCCTATTTGTGGTTTGGATGCTGAGGGCACTTAACAACTCCACCTCTCCACAGAAAATCTGGGAGAGCTGGTGAGGCTTGGGATGGTGGCACAGGAGCATGGATGTGACAGCCTGTGACAGAGAGGCTGCTGGCACTGGAGCTGTTTCTGCCTCAGGAGCAACTCGGGGCTGTGATGGAGGTCCGAAATCATGGCTGACTGCAGGGGGTAAATGGAGAGCAGCGTCTGAGGGGCAGCAAGAGGAAAGTCATTAAATGAAGCGAGTGAGAACCAAGCTCCAGTTAGAATTCTTCCTGCTGTGAACAGTTAGGCTGTAAAATGTTGCTCTAGGGCATGTTCAGTGCCAAAGGCTTACATAGCTTCAGGGGGGCCCTTGGCAAGGAAGCCACAGAGGGTCACTGAGTACACAAAATCCATCTGACTCAGGCAGCCCCTGAGCCGTGCGTGGGCACAGGACATCAAAGCCATTTGCCCTGATGAAATCCCCCCCAGAGATGTGCTTTTGGCCAGGATCAAAGCCTGCCTGGAGTGTAAGGGCTCCGAGCACCAGCACATGTCCTTCACCCCAGCAGAATCTTGTACTCATTGTGAAGATTTACAGTATCGTTTCTCCCATTCCCACCCAGGCTGATGATCTCTGCCTACCTCCTGCCTTCCCTCTCTAGTTCTATTCCCAGTGAGCAGTGTATAGTTGTGCCTGGCTGCTCAGTCTCTGAGATCATGCTGGAGGATGCTGTGTGTTTCCTTTGCCCCTGCTGCCCTTTGAGCAGGAGTTTTCACCTGCTCTTAGTGATAGCTTTTCATAGGGAAAGTAGTTGTGCTTCTTCCCTGTACTTGGTAAAGATGTTCATGATCTTTTCTCCAAGCCTTGCATGTTAGTCTGTAGTTAGATCTTGGCTGTCCTTCTCTCATGTGGTTACTTATTCTGTGAGCCTTCATCTGCCAGTGAGAAGCATCCACCCCATGGGTGCCTCTTCCTTTACTCCCTTACAGGGGCCAGCATCCCGCATGGGACTGACCACACTCCCCAGCTGCAGGCCCTGGGGGCACAGTGCCATGTGTAGTGTGTTGGCAGCCCTGCCTGCCCAAGCCCACTGGAGGCACAGCCTGGCCCCGGGCAGGAGGAGGGGTTTTTCTAGGTGCCTCTCACACGCACTGGCTTTGGAACAAGCCCAGAGCCAAGCTCCTACCTGCTCTTGCCCCAAATCTGTGGCCACTCTGTGTCCATGCCACTGAGCTGTCCCTGTCTGCTCGCAGAGCCGTGTCCCTCCACCCTGCTGCAGAGGCACATGGCAGACCTGCTCCACAGCGACTGTGACTTGGCCCCCAGCTTCCTGAACAGCGTCCTCAACCAACTGAACTGGGCTTTCTCCGAGTTCATTGGCATGATTCAGGAGGTAAGCACGTCCCTGGGCTGCACGCCCTGCACCCAGTGTCCCACAACAGCAGGACTCAGGACTTGAATCTCAGGGCTGGGGGTGCAGCCGTTCCCTGGCACGTACAGGAACTGCACCGGGCTGGGGTTTGCGGCCCTTCTTTTGGGAAGAGGCCTTGTTAAGGTGTCTCTTTCTAGATCCAGCAGGCCGCAGAGCGCCTGGAAAGGAACTTTGTGGACAGCCGCCAGCTGAAGGTGTGCGCCACGTGCTTCGACCTATCGGTCAGCCTGCTCCGCGTGCTGGAGATGACTGTCACTCTTGCCCCCGAGATCTTCCTGGACTGGAATCGCCCATCGTCGGAGCTGCTGCTTCGGAGGCTCGCCCAGGTATTGGCCTTTGGCAGGGAGGGAAGGAGTTTCCTCAGAGGGGCTGTGAGCAGCCCTCAGTGCTCGCAGTTTGGGGAGTGTCAGCAGAGAGCAGCGCGCTGCAGCGTGCCTCTCACCCTGCTGACACTGCAGAGCTGTGCCCACGCGGCTCAGTGCTTCGTGCGTGCAGGGATGCTTTGCTCAGAGATTGCACAGCTCACAGTGAGCGTGTCAGGCCTGGAGCCATCCCTGCTCATCCCACTGGGGTGTGGGTGAGAGCTAATGGTGGTGGATTAAGTGCCTCTGCAGCTGATTCCTGCAGTGTAGAAATCTCCATCCGTGGTGATGCTCTGTCACGCAGAGAAGCACGTTGCTCTGTGTGCTTTTCCTGTGCCTCGGGGCTGGTAGGGCTGTGCCACTGCCATCCCGACCCCACTGACGCTGCCTTGTCCAGTAGCAGCTGACAGCCAGCTCTTCATGAGCTGTGGCTGGACCCTCTGCTTCCAAAGAGCTGCTTGCACAGAAGCAGCTTGGCATCTGCAAGTGGAGTACAGATGTAAGCGCAAGGTGCTGACCTCAGACATTCTCTGCTTCTTCCTGCACAGCTCTTGAACCAGGTGCTGAACCGTGTGACAGCTGAAAGGAATTTGTTTGACAGAGTGGTCAACCTCCGTCTGCCAGGTGAGTCTGTGCATCAGCTCTCCATCCCTCTGCCCTGTTGAGAACATGCTGGAAGCCCTCAGACAGCAGGCACATTGTGGCCAAGGTCATTGCAGAGGTGTGGGATCAGCAGCTGTATGGCTCTAGCTGTCCGCAGCAGAGGTGGCAGCTGGGCTGTGCCTGTGGCTGGAGAGGTGCACTGACCTGACATGGGTTAGACTGGAGCTGTCTGCAGGGCTCAGAGGCCTGGACAGATTTCAGTGTAGGTAGCAAACTTTGTTGCTGTGCATTGCATTGAGTAAAGGGCGGAGTAAATTCTTAAGATATGGAGCTGTTGGAGAGGGTCCAGAGGAGAGCCATGAAGATGATCAGGGGGCTGGAGTGCCTCCTCTACAAAGACAGGCTGAGGCAGCTGGGCTTGTTCAGCCTGGAGAAGAGAAGGCTGCAGGGTGACCTCATTGCAGCCTTTCAGTACCTAAAGGGAGCCTACAGCCAGGAGGGGAATCAACTCTTGGAAAGGGTAGATAACTGCAGGACAAGGGGAAATGGTTTTAAGTTGAGGGAGGAAAGATTTAGGTTGGATGTCAGAGAAAAGTTCTTTGTAGAGAGAGTGGTGAGGTGCTGGAACAGCTGCCCAGAGAGGCTGTGGATGCCCCGTCCCTGGAGGTGTTCAAGGCCAGATTGGATGGGGCCTTGGGCAGCCTGGTCTAGCATTAAATATGGAGGTTGGTGCCCCTGCCTGTGGCTGGGGGGTTGGAGATTCATGATCCTTGAGGTCCCTTCCAACCCTGGTCATTCTGTGATTCTGTAAAGGGTGCACTGAATTGCTGAGGCAAGCTGTTTGCACCAGCATCAGCTATCTTCTTCCTGTTCTGCCTGTTGGCAGAGGCAGGCTCTGGGTACTGTGTTGTGAGCATCCCCTATTGACCATAAAACAGCTGGATCTTCCTGCCTGCTTGGCAGAGGACATACCACCTTCTCCTTCTGGGGCTTGGAAGAGGCAGGGATGCTCCCTTGGGAGAGCAGTGCTCAAGCCTGGGGCTCATCAGTGGGGAAAACTCCTGTTTTTGTGGGAACCCATGGCCCCTGCAGACCCCTGCAGAATCAAAGTCACAGCCCTGCATCCTGCCACCAAGGCTGCAGCCCCATCCCACCTGCTGTGCAGCAGCACTGATTCTGCCTTACACTTTTCCTTCTGTAGGACTGGAGAGCGTGGACCATTACCCGATCCTCGTAGCTGTGACAGGAATACTGGTCCGGCTGCTGGTGGACAGTGATGCACAGGGGTGAGTGGCTTTTGGTTTCTTAAGCACAGTTGTTGCTGCACGTGGCATTACTTTCCCCATGTGCATACCCTGGGAGATGCTGCAGGAGCAATAGGGGTGTGTGGGGACCGAGGTGAGAAGAGGTAGATGTGCTTGGAGCGTTCAGCACGTTGGTGGCCTCATGCTGGGAATCATGACAGCTCCACAGATCTTTGTTGAAAAAGCTCTCAGTGAAGCCATGCCTCGGGCTGTTGGTCTGTGTTGCCAGTGCTGCTTGCATCAAGCTCTGCAAACGGGCTCGTGCTGATGTCTTCTGCAGCCTGGTCCTGCTCTCTCCCAGTGCTGCCCTGCTGTTGTGCCCTGTAGGATACTGTAGGAAGGGGCTCTTATGTCTGCCCTGCGCATCCTGCTTTGGAGAACATGACAATCCCTGGCTGTGTGCAGAGCAGAGCCCCATCTGGCCGTGCAGCTCAGCTATGCAGACGGTCTTTCTGCTTCTTCTCTCAAGGACTCAAAGATGTACACAAATCTACATCTAATTATATCCTGCTCCCATGGCTGCTGCACCAGTCACACAGCCCCAGGGGTGACAGTGCCAAGTGCTCAGTGCAGAGTCGCTGGCAGTGGCCTTTCTGGACTCTGGGTTTGGGTGTGTTTTGCTCTTCCCCAAAATCCTGCTGCGTGAAAAGGGCAAACATCATAAATTTGACACCACAACTGGTTCCTTCCTCCTGGAGGGAGAGGAGGGGTGTCAAGCAGTTCCCTGTGTGCCTGGCAGGATGAGAAGGCCTCCCCCGTTCCCTGTCCCTAAAACATCTGTCCTAGGGCTAAAAGCTGTTTCTCTGCCCTCCAGCCCAGTGAACTTAGGAAGCAGGGTGCAGGATGGAACCTGCCAGCTCCCAGCCTGCATCTCCCCTGCCTGAAAGCCAGTTGTGCTTTGGGTTGGTGACAGCCAGGCAGCTGCTGTCACAGATGCTGAATGGCACTGTCCCCTGTGTGTGCCCACAGCAGCCAGGACAGCACAGTGACAAACCAGAAGTGCTGTACCCTGTTGTGCAGCTGGAAAGTGGTGAGTCTGAGGCTGTTTATCAGGGCTTTACAGCCACCTCCTTGAACACTGGAAAGCAGAGGTAAATAAGAAGCAGTGGAATGGTGCAAGAAAGCATTGTGTCCTTATGGTGGGACTGGCTGAGTGGGAGAGGCACAAGGTGAGACAGGAGGAAGCCCAGGAAAAATTTTCTCTAAAACAAAATGCTTGTGCATTATTTTGCAAAGCCCAGCAATAATTCTGAGATTTGATACACCACTGATCTATAAAAGGCAGGCAGGCTTTGCAGGGAAGTTGCTCAGGTCAAACAAGACATAGAAGTACCAAGGCTGAGCATCCCAAAGGCATCCTTGCTCCCAGAGCAGGGAGTAGGCAGCCTGCTGGTACCAACAGTGTAACTGTGGGCAGATAACTCTCATGGAAGGAGAGCTGAGCACTCCCCTTCGTGACAGCTCTGAGTTGGTGATCCAGGGCTGTGCCTTGCCTACAGGGTGGTTCTGCTCAGTACAGCACATTCAGAACCAGCAAACAGGGCTGCAGGACCAGGAGGTGCAGCGGGACTGAGTATGGCCCTATTGAGGTCTCTGCCCACAGTCACCCTAATGCAGGGAGGTGGCACAGCGCAGCAGCAGCCAGCACAAAGCAGGCATGGGGAGGTGTCCTTTTCCAAGGTCGTGAGCAAGAGGATCCTTCTTGGAGAGAAAAAGGAGAATTAAACCTTTATCGAGTCGGTTCCGTCCCGCAGGAGATGGCTGCTGTGGGTTGTACTGCTGCAAGGAGCCAGCAGCAAGGATCCCATCCCCAGGTTCTGTCTGTCGAACCTGTTTATGTGGACCCAAGAGGAGACAGCCCTCCTTTTCCCTTTTTTGCTTGCTCTCAGTCGGGCAAGCAGGTAAGAGGATGGGATTCCCCTTCTGCAGAAGCACTACCTGGAGGTAGGAGTAGGAAGAAATTTATTCCAGGTCCCCTTTGGCACCTCCCAGATTTCCAGAAACCGTTAGCAGAGCGATTACATCACAGGAGTTTGCTCAGAGGAACCTCTCTATAGGAATTACCCAGAACTAGCTGTTGAGCTGCTGGGTTCCATGCAGAGAGCTCTGCCCCGGAGGGTGAGGACAAAGGGCAGGAGGACCTCCTGTCACCTCTTTGCTTGAGTGAGCTTTCTCTGTCTGTGAGCTGACCAGGCGCTGGGGGCTTTGCCCTGGGACGGCACACACAGCAGGGAGAGCAGGGCTCTGCACAGTGCCCTGGGTGCAGCAGGACGTGGCCTGATGCTGTCCAGCAGGATAGGCTCAGCCAGGCATCAAGTCCTCCTATTACGGCCTCCTGGCACAAAAAGGGCCATTAAGCACAGGAATAGGGAACATTGCCCGGGCTGGGATGTGAGGAGACAATTGATACATGGTGTGTGTTAGTCCGAAATGCACTCCTTGGTTCTGTGAGGATGGCTGTGCTGCTCGCAGCACTCAGTGCCCAGCGCCTGCTCTGCTGAGCCCCAAAGCCTGGCCAGCCAGTCCTGGCCCTGGCACCGGGGTAAGGAGGAAAGCTGTGAGCTGGTACCCGAGCATCCTGCAAGAGCTGCTGGCCTGGGCAAGAGCAGAGCCTGAGGACTTTCACGCTCAGCTCACTCCTGAGGGGTGAGACTCACAGATGGGCAGGGTGCAGGATAGAGCCTGCCTGCTCATAGTGGGGTCTGCAGCAGAGCTGTTCCTGTCTCCACAATAGAGACGTGGCAGCAGTGTCACTGATGGTGCTCCCAATGCTAACGGGATGCCCGTGTGCTCCGTGCTTTGCCAGGCCCTAATGACCATCCTTTGCTTTTATGGGGAGGAGAGAGAAGGTGGGAGCTGAGCCTGGAGCTGCTCTGAATCACTGGGACCATGCCAAGGACCCGGGCAGCCTTCAGCCAGTATCATCCCCCTGTTTGTCTGCTAAATAATTGAGCAGATTTTCTATTAAGCCTCCTTTGGACTGAGCTAATGGAGCCAAGTTGGCCAGATCTTGTGTAATGATCCTGATGAGAGCGAGTGATGGGGGAAAGGGCAGTGCCCGAAGGTTCTCCGCAGGTGTCTGCGTGTGAGGGGACTCACTTGGTGGCAGTGGGGCTCTGGTTTGGAGGGCTGGGATGTGTTCAGGAGTTTGGTGTGTTTGTTGGAAGCACAGCTGTGATGGAGCCTTCCAGGGAGCTCGCAGGGAGTGCCACCCAGAAGGTGGGGAGGACAGAGGGAAGCACTGCAGTCACCTGGCTACCGACTGCTTCACTCACTGCACCCTGAGCAGGGGGTGCACAGGCTGGGGTCTGCAGTGCCCTGTGGGGATGGCACGGGCTGGGGCACCAAGCTTTGCTGCCTGTGCCTCTTTGGAAGTCCATGAGTGTGGTAAGGGAGGGACCCAGGTGCAATCAGCCCCAGGATGGGAGGGTAGGAGAGAACCAAGATGTGGAGCATGGGGAACAGATGATCCTTGGGCCCCGCACACTCGTGTTGCTGTGCTGCAGGCCAACCCATGGCGTGGCAGCCAGCCAGGCCAGAGTGATTACAGGTGGCTGCCAGGAGGGGATGGTGGTGATGGAGACCATCTGCTGTATTTCCAGCCCTGCCTGTTAGGGAGGCCATGCCCGTGGCTGTGCTTTCCATGGCTGAGATTTACCATTCAAGCTGCTTGAGGGGCTGCTCTGAGCATTACAGCACCTTGCTGGAGCTGCACTGCAGGGCTGAGTCCTTTCCTGGCACCAGAACAGTGTGACACACTGCGATGGGGTTTTCCTGGGAAACAGGGAGCCCTTGTGACAGGCACTGAAACAGCCACGTCCATGGCACTGTGGGATGGGGTCGGGCAGCTGCAGGGAGCAGCAGGCCCCTTGCTTTGGGGTGGATGGTACCAGCCCCTCACCTCAGCACCTCTCTGGAATGCTGTTCCGGAATCTGAGGTGAAGCATCAGCATGCTGCCATGATGCAGCAACCACATCCCTCAGCAAGGGATGGCTTTGCTCACGCAAAAGCAGGGCGGTAGGATTCCCATTGTAAAGGGCAGACCCGTATCCCCCTCAGTGGGATCCCTGCATGGGAGCAGAGCCAGGGGACGGTACCACCGCAACTCCCCAGGCCCAGCAGCAGCTGGCATGGCTGCTCAGCATCCCGGGCTCATTAGCAGTGCTGTGCTAACACAAGGGGACAGCGGGTGCAGGCAGTGAGGCAGGGCCGGCAGCAGCTGTCAGTCCCCATCCCTCGCCAAGCAGGGGCTGCAGGGCTGATGGCACAGGGCTGCACAGGGCTGCTGTTTCAGGTGGCGAGCCCGAGCGCTTTAGGCAGGGCTGACTTTGTGCTGGAAATAAGCTGCTTGTCTCTGTGCTGGAAGAGTGGAAGGATGGGCAAGAGCTGTGTTCTCTCATGGTGACTGTGCAGGGGTGGTTGTGTCCCTATGCTTGGCTCCGTGCCCCTCTGTGGTGTCCCCCCTTCCCTCAGTGTCAAGGCCGGCCTGCTCCTGAGCAAGTAAATCTCCCATCCCTCTGAATGCTGCTGGTTCCTTAATGTGCTGTGTGCCACTGCTGCTGCCCCCTCCCCACCTCACAGATGCTACCTCCTGGGGACAAGTGACCAGAGGCCCCCCCAGCCCTCAACACTGCATGTCACACTAACCCCACGCAGATCATGGGAGTCCTGTAGCCCCCAGCCCAGCTGCCCTGCCGTGAGGACAAGGAGACACACAGCCCAGCATGAGCTTAAAAAAATAGGCATTTTTTTATTCAAATGTAACTGGAGAGTGATGGCCCGAGAGAGGAGAGCATTACTCACATTTATTGACAGGCTCATTAGGTTACTGCCTCAATAGCTGTGCTCGAGCAGCGCGCGTCCATCTCAAGGAGAAGCAGCGAGCACAGGCAGTGCAGGAGACCTCAGCGTCCTTGGTGGCATGGGGAGCTGCAAGCAGCGCTGCGTCAGTCACCTCCTGGTGCCCGACATCACTATGTACAGCTTTGGGGGTGTTCAGAGGCAAAAACATGCGATGTTTGCTTGGCTGGGTGCTGAGCCCCCTCTTTGCCACGCGGTCCCCCCGTGGATGTGTGGGGCCACAGGACCGCGCTCCCTCCACTCCAAGTGGCTGGGGACAGTGGCATGGCCCCGAGGACAGCACTGGGGGGATTGGGTTGGGAGCACTGGGCTGGATCTTGCACACCCACGGCCACAGCCCTGGCATCACTGCTGCCTGGACAAAACAGGGATTGCAGGCGTGCTGAGTCCATCAGTGTTGCCCTTGTGTCAGCGGCTGAAGCTGGGCAGGTGGTGCTGAACCCCCCCCCCCTCCCTCCCACCCCCCCATAGTCAGGCTGAGCCGCTGGGGCTCGGTGATGCTGTGAGCAGGCGAACAGCTCAGCCCCACTACGACACGATGGGGGTGTCTGAAAAGACGGAGCTGATGGACTCGGTGTCCGACCGCAGCTGCAGCACCTTGGGGTGCCTGCCATCAGGGAGGCCCTCACCGGGCACCGGGCGCTCCTTGCCATCCAGCACCTCGCGGGCAGGCTCCAGGAAGGCCACGTGCTTGCTGGCCCTGCGGCTGGGCCCGTCGGTGGTGGGCGGTGTGGCGCTGAGGATGGAGGACTGTGCGCTGCACTCCTGCGGGGGGCTGGGGGAGGCCGTCCTGCAGCACGGCGGGCAGCGGCACGGCGTCACAAACAGGTAGACGAGCACCAGCAGCAGGCTGACGATGCAGCCCAGCAGCGTGGTCAGGCCGGTGCTGAACGCCTCCCCGTCTGGCTTGGAGTAATGCACCGTCACGTTGACCTCGCACAGCCGGCTGACGTTGTGGGGGCCATTGATGGCCAAGCAGACATAGACCCCGGAGTGCCAGGGCCGGGCGGATGCAATACGCAAGCTGCCGTTGTGGAACACCTCGACGGAGCGGTTGGCGTTCCCCGGGGGCCAGATGGGCTCGTGGTGTGGGGAGATCCACATGTAGGCGACGTGGGGCAGGCTGGCATTGCAGGCCAGCAGCAGCACCCGGCCCACCGTCACCGGGAAGGACACGGGCTGCGCGGGGTCTGGCTCGGCCGAGCAGTTCTCAAACAGGTGGTTGTACTTGAGGAGCTTGATCAGGGAGCGCGGCACGGCGTCGGATACCTTGCAGGTGTGCTCCTCAAAGAAATCCCGCACCGAGCTGAAACCCCGCTGCCTCCAGCGCTGCAGCATCAGGTAGAGCGGGCAGCTGCAGCGCACGGGGTTGTTGTGCAGGTAGAGGCCGTTGCGGACGTGCTCAGGCAGCGCCGCCAGCTCCTCCACAGGCAGGCTGCTCAGGCTGTTGGAGGACAGGTCCAGCGTGCGCAGGCTGAAGTTGCCCAGGCCCTGCACCGCGTGGAAGGGGAAGGAGGTGAGGTTGTTCCAGCTCAGGTACACCTTCCTCAGCCCGCTCAGCTTGGCGAAGGCGTTCTCGTCCACCCGCGCGATGCGGTTGTTGTAGAGCAGGAGCTCCTCCAGGCTCACCAGCTCCTCGAAGTAGTGCGTCTCGACGGCGCGCAGGCGGTTGGAGGACATGTCGAGGTGCCGCAGGCGGGACGCGTTGTGGAAGGCACGCGGGGACAGCTCGCCGATCTGGTTGTGGCCGATGTGCAGAGCCTCGAGGTGCGGCAGCGCGGCCAGCCAGCCGTCCTGCAGCTGGCTCAGCGCGTTGTGGCTCAGGTCCAGCGTGGTGGCGGTGGGCGGCAGAGCGCGGGGCACGCGCTGCAGGGTCTGCCGGCTGCAGCTCAGCAGGTCGGAGGTGCAGATACAGGCGGGGGGGCAACTGCGGGGCGGCGAGGTGCGCGCGGGACACAGCTGGAGCAGCAGCAGCAGCCACAGCTCCGCGGACGCCCACGGGGCCATGGCGTTTTTCGGCGGCCCGGGGCGGTGGGGACTCAGCGGGGCCGTGCTGCTCTACCGGCTGCTGGCAGAGCCGGCCACGGGGGCCGTAGCAGAGCTAAGGGGCGGCATGGCCCCTCGCGCAGCGCCACGCGTTGCGGGGGGACCGCATCCAGCACGGGTGCCGCGGTGCTCCGGTGCTCACCCTCACCTCCCAGCGCCGCTCGTCCCCGGAGCGCCAAGTTTCTTAGAGCTCGGCGCCGCGCATCGCCGTGCCCGGCCGCTTCCCGGGTAGCATCTCCCGGCGCCCGACCGCTCGCCCCTACTTACGTGCTGGCGATGCGCAGCGTGGGGGCTGGGCGGGAGCCCATTGGTCCCGGCGTGGGGAGTGGTAGCCGCGGTGGCCGGGCGGCTCGGCGCGTCCCTCCCTCGCGTGCCGCGGTGGGCAGGGCGGTGCGAGTGCTCGTCCCAGGGGATCGCTTCGGAGACCCCCGGCCGTGCGCAGCCTCTGTTCTTCCTTCGACAGCGGCAGCCGCTGCGCCGCGCTGACCTCCCACACCCCAGTGCGTCCGTCCCTCTCTGCCCTTGTCCCTTGATGAGCTGGCGGGGACCCCCTGGCACGCCCGTCCATGGAGGCAGGCTGAGCCCAGGGATCCCTGCGGTGGAGAGGGTGCTACTAGCAGGGGCAGCCGTGCGGTGAAGGACGTGCAGGAATGTCATTGCCAGCTCCTGGGCTCTTCAGTGGGAAGCGGAGAGCGGGGATGGGGAATTGGTTTCCATTAGGGAAGCAAAAGAGCTCATTTGGCCGCTGTGGCTGCTGGGCACTGAGGGGCTGTTAACCCCCTGCTCCCCAGAGCAGCTCAGCCGGCGATGGAGATGGAGACTGCTGTGCCCAGCTGTGCCTTTGCTGGAGGTGGCCACGGGGCTGTGGCTGGGGCACGGGGCAGGTGCCTGATGGAGGCAGTGCCTGAGCAGCGCTGGGGGCTCTGGATGCCACATTGTGCCCCTCCTCTGTCCAGAGCATCCCTGCTGATGCATGAGGCCTGAAGAGACACAACCGCTCTCTCCCTCCTCCCTGCCAGGGTGATGGCACACCGTGGGGACACCGTGTGGTGTCCCCGAGGTGCAGATGTGCTCCAGTCCTGGGCTGCTGTGGTGCTGTGTCCTCACCCTGCAGTGCTGGTGCCAGCTGCTTCAGCCACCCTGCATCTCCTAGGGCGCATGCCGGCACCTGAGCCTGAGGTGCAACCTTGGCAAATGCCAATGCAGCACATCAATCCGGGGTCCTGCAGCAGATTCCCAATGGGATGGTAGCGGAGGAGGGGGAGGAGGAGGAATGCCCTTTGGCTGCCTTGGTGTGTGCTGTGGGATCCTGAGGACTGGGGGCTACCACCATGCTGCATTCCCTTTGGGACAGCTCCTGCAGAACAAGCCAGCTGCGTGGTGCTGGGGCACAGCCAGAACCATGTCTGGGAACATGGGGAAACAGGCAGAGCCTGTCTGTGTCTTTCCCTTCGCAGGGCTGAGCGCGCAACGGCGGTGCTGCTGGCGGACCCCTGCTTCCAGCTGCGCTCCATCCAGTACCTCCTGGGCCACGCCGAACCTGCAGCCATGGCAGCAGCTGCTGCTGCCACAGAGAAACGCCACTTCTCCCTGAGCACATGTGAGTGATGCACCAGGCTGGGGCAGTGGGCTGCCGGACATGGGGGCAGCACTGGGCACACAGCCGGCCCAGCAGCACTGGGCACACAGCCGGCCCAGCAGCACTGGGCACACAGCAGGCCCAGCAGCACTGGGCACACAGCAGGCCCAGCAGCACTGGGCACACAGCCGGCCCAGCAGCACTGGGCACACAGCAGGCCCAGCAGCACTGGGCACACAGCAGGCCCAGCAGCACTGGGCACACAGCCGGCCCAGCAGCCGGGTGCCACGCGGCTCTCAATGCGGTTCTGCCCCCAGACACGGAGTACATCAGTGCCGAGGAGCTGTCCAAGGTGGACAAGATGCTGAGCCATCTGAGCGAGGAGTCCAAGCAGGCGGCTGCCACCACGCTGGTGAGTGTCCTCCATTCCCATCCCCATGCACAGCTCTGCTGCTCCAAACTCGCCTGCAGCCCTGGCACCGCTGCCCCCCAGCTCCAAGTACCTCTGCCAAGCACCCTCCTGTCCCCCACAGCCCACCAGCGAGGAGGACCTATGCCCCATCTGCTACGCACACCCAATCTCTGCCATCTTCCGGCCCTGCTCCCACAAGTCCTGCAAGTGAGTATGAGCAGCTCCTGCTGGCCCCAGCTCCCCGCAGCATTTGGGGTTCGGGAGTGCTTACGCTCTTCTTCCCCCCCATCCCAGAGCCTGCATCAACCAGCACCTGATGAACAACAAGGACTGCTTCTTCTGCAAGGCCACCATCACAGGGGTGGATGATTTCACCAAGCCGGCCGGCTCCTAATGCCTGGCCCTGCACGTGGGTCTGTCCCTAACACAGGACAGGGGCTGCGGGGAGGGAGGGGCCATTCTCAGGGAGGGGAGCGCGAGGCCTCATTCCCACAGCAGCCCCGCATGCAGTGAGCGCTGCCTGGGGCTGGGCTGTGTGTTTGGGCTTTGAGACTTCGGCCCTGACTGGGGGCTGACTTCATGAAATGCAGCATTAAATTATTCTTCCTTACACAGTACCAGGGTGACGTGAGGAGGGAAAGCCGAGCCGGCTCTGGGGGCTCCGCTGTGCACAGATGATGCTCAGAGGTAGATGGAAATATAAATATTTAATCTAAACAGAACCAGGAGAGAGCACAGCGGGCGCTACATGATGATGCGTGGCTCTGGCACGGACTCGGCGATGGATTTGTGTGGCAGCACGTTGGCCCCATTGAGGTAGAGCTCGTCGTTGACAATGACATCCTCACCGAGCACCGTCACGTTCTCCATGCGCACCTGTCCCAAGAGCTGAGTCACACCCAGCCCGCTTCAGGGCATGGGGCCGTGCTCCTGCTGTCGCCCACTGGCACCACAGTGCTTTCCTCCTCCCTTTGGCTGCAGCCAGGAGGCAGGGCAGGATCTGGCCCAGTCCCTCTAGAGCCCCGCAGCACACGCCTCCTCACCCACTGCCCCACAGAGCAGCTCCAGCCCACAATGCAGGACTCCAGCCAGGAGTGGGAGCGGATGCGGGCCCCCTGCAGCACCGTGCAGCGCTTGATGCGCACCCCGTCCTCCACCACCACACCAGCCCCAATCGTCACATTAGGGCCGATGACGCAGTTTGCCCCAATCTTGGCACTAGGATCCTGCAAGGAAAGAGGGATTAATCACAGAAACCCCAAGGTTGGAAAAGTCCAACCATTCACGGATAGTTCTCACTAAACCATGTCCCTCGAAACAATGCCCAAAACTGCAGTGAGGCCGGGGGCACAGCTCAGCCAGCGTGGGGATGGCAGGGCCAGCTTGAGGAAAGCAGTGGGAGGATGG